AATTGTTTTTACACGAAACAGAGGCGTTACAAAGAGTTCAATAGCTTTACTTTCTGACTATGCCTTGTAGAAACATTAGGTTATTTAGAAGAAGGAGACATGGAAAATAAGCAGTGCCCTCCGTGGGATCTCTCGAAATACGCGCCCAGTGTGCTAACCGTTACACTACGAAGGCATGCTCAAAGGAGGAAGAAAATACCTTATATACTCCCTCTTTTAAAAGGCGACTGGAGGTTAATCGACCCAGTCGCCAAATCCCGGTGTTAAAGAATCATCATCCACCAGCTTTTAGTTCGGGCGCCGCTGTAGAATCATTAGGATATTTTGAATCAGGAGACGTGAAAAATGAGCAATGCCCTCGCCGGGACTCAAACCTGGACCTCTCGAAATACGCGCCAAGTGCGCTAACCGTTACACCATGAAGGTGTGCTGGAAGGAGGGAGAAAATACCTTATAGCCTTATCTACTCCATTAAAACTTTTGAGTGGAAAATATCAATGACAATTAAATGAACATCTTAATGACGTGGAACAACAATGAATTCCTCGATAAGAGAGAAATAGTTCCGCAGAAAAGGAAACCGAGATGTGGAACAGTCGCTTTGAACTTTTATACAATTTTGTTCTAAAATATGTTCTCCAAAACGAAATTACAAATATTGTAACTATAGAATTAGAATAACCCTCATGCTGTTTAAATATTAGGTATACTGTGAGAGAAGTTTTTCTATATATAAATCGATTAAAAGGTCTTAATTCATTCCTAAAAATGAGTATTTTGTATTTAGTAAATGTGGTACTGTCTAGAGAAGAGCAACTGGAGTAATGAAACAAACTTCTAGAATGTCATCGAGGATTATGCTAAGAGAAAGAAAAAAGAAATAAAATGTTAGATTAGAGTTTTATTTTGAAATTAACACGGAGCTTTTATTTATTTCCCTATATGTCGTTCTGTCATTTTATAGATTTGATTTTTTGATGTGCATTAAGTGGGGCGGCAAATGGCCCTCCTCGGGCTGCAAAAGTTTAAGCTATGCCACTCAGAAAGCTGCTTTGTGTTAGGAAATAACATAATATTTTTAAAAATCTCACGTGAAAGTGATTATATAAAACAGTCGTTCTAATCTATAGATGTTTTTCTTCGGAAGTGGGGGGGGGCAGGGGAGGGGAGCAAGGAAAAAATAAGAAAGAAAGAAAATCTGAAAGGATTTGGATTTTAACGTAGCAGCAGAGGATTTGTATGGTCTTCACTGAGCTTCGCAGGTTACAAATTTGCTCTCGGACTCAGTCATGCTAATGCAATTTTTTGTCTTTATTATTAAGCTTTGCTTTCTTCGCATTTGTAACAAAATCAAGAAGAAAATCACAGAATGTTTAAAAACAGCATATACTTGGAATTACTAGAGTGTTAGTCTCGTTAGAGTCCTTATATATATATATATATATATATATATTATATTCCTCGTATTATTTCTTTGAAAACTAGGCGCTTGAGCGTACAGCCGCCTAAAAGAGTTATCATAAAAAAGTATGTAATGATTTTAACGAGTCCATCTTGTGTTCATTTCATAAAAAATAGTTAATATTCATAATTAGATATATCATGATTTAAATAGATTTTTATTTAAATCAATCAGATTAAAAAATAGGAAGATATTTTAAGTCCAAAGGGGCAACTTTGGCCAGAAGGGCTATTAATTTCGTTTTGGCATTTTTCGTTGATTCGACGAACAGTCACCTGATCACAAACCGGCCAGAGTTGTTATGAACATCTCTTGCTAAGTGTTGATGATAACCATATTTGAAATTAATCCATAAATGCATAATTTCATTGCCCAAAAGCGTTAGGTTATCTGCCTAAGGGCTAAGCTGCCTTCGTTGAGGATTTTCTGTTGACTCGTGTTCGTGTTACATACGGGGTAAAACACGAAAATCATGTATGCTGTTAATCCTTTCATTTAGCTTGAACTACTAGTGATCGCGTTCTTAATCTCTCGGCCGTTGGCGAGGTTTCTAAAAAAATGCTATATTTAAAATTGGGCATTACCTCTAGAGAGGACGATTCAGAACTAGAGGAACAAACTTCTAAGAGAGATAGGGTACATCTAGACGACTCGGAGTTCCATAGCAATGCAGGACAGGAATTGCAATCTTAACGCGATAGGGGGTTGTTAGGGGCTGTCGCAGGAAAACCGTTGACAGGCCTTTCGGTCGTTTTGATAGCCACGAAGATGCGCAATTTCTAAACACCCAGTGCATCCCAAAATGCCCGAGTTTCCATGTCTTAACGCCACGTTACGGTAGCACACTTGGCACGTATTAGAGAAGTCCAGGTACGAGCCGGCGAGGGCAGTGCTCATTTTTCGTCTCCTACTTTAAAAACCCTAATGACTCTACAGTGTCTCTCGAACTAAAAGGTGGTGGATGATTGAGTCCTCACCACCAGGATTAGGCGACTGGATCCTCAAGGTATTTTCTCCCTCCTTTCTGCATGTTTTCGTGGTATAACGGTAGCACACTCGGCACATATTCGATAGGTCCAGATACGAGTCCCGGTGAGGGCATTGCTCATTTTTCATGTCTCCTACATCAAAAATCCTAATGGCTCTACAGTGGCACTCGAACTAAAAGGTGGCGGATGGTGATTCTTCACCACCAGGATTTGCGATTGTGTTCCCTAATCCCAGTCGTGCTTTACGAAATGTCCCTTCATCATCAGGAAAGCCAGGACTTATTTTCATGATCTTTAAATGTCAGTTTGCGATCACGATGTATTCATATTTTCAATCCTAGCACCTCTGCGGCTGGCTGTGGACAGGTTTCCTGCGACAGTCCCTAATCCTACCTATCTCATTAGGATTGCATTTCTGACCCTGCACTGCTATGGGGTTCCGGGTCGTCTTGGTGGATCCTACCCCTTCTTGAAATTCGTTCCTCTTGAAGTCTTGAATCATCCTGTATAATGACATCAGTAATCTGTCAAACTACAGTGTATCTACGAATAACTCTAAAATATAAAAACATTGTTACATGAATATACGGTATTTACTTGCGTAATAGTTGCAGCTCCGTTTTGAAGCAGAAAAAATCGTCAAAAGTGTATAATATTGTGTAGTAGATTTCCCAGCATAATAGTCGCATCTAGACTTTCACAATGAAAAATTGCCCCCCCCCCCCGAAAAAAAAAAAGTGCGACTATGGCGCGAGTAAATACGGTATTCACCTAAAACGATTTCGCCTGCTGCCGAGTTACTGTTTCACTTTTCTACTCGCTTTCGCGCGAGTTCTCAAGGAAGCAAAGAAGAAAGATGAAAGTGTTAGCAGACAACCTGATTTAAATTGCTTTTAAAGTGTTTTTTTTTTTTTTTTCTCCAATCGGGTTACATTATTTATGCTTAATTTTAGCGATCATAAATACTCCGACTTATTATTAGATTGTAATTACTAAGCCGATCCTCTTTTCGATTCCGCAAACTATGTCTCGAAATAAAATATAATCAACCAGACTGGCTCATTAACATTCGCAAAACTAGTCACCCCATGGTAAATTCCAGTCGTTCAAGGTCAGTAAGGCAATATGCGAAAAATCTGTTAATCGCCCAGACAATTTGTTCTTCATTTCTTCCATCCTGGACAAATTTTTTTCCTCTCCCTGGTAAGTGAAGAATTTTATAAAGTAATTTCTATTGGAAGTAGTAATTTTTATTGTTGGAATTACTTGAGACGGAGATATTACTAAAGTTACTAAACATAAGTTTGTTTTTTTAACACACTGAATGCCATGCGAATTTGTAAGGAAATTCTCGCCAGGCCGCGCACTCTCCATAGAAGTGCGTTGGTATTACGGTATAGCAATGCCAAGCGCTCCTCTGTGATTGTTAGTTAAGAGATTAGAAGTTTTTTACCTTTATATGCTTTCAGTTAACTGTGGTTCTTGGTTCAATGCGGACAAAAGTCTTTATTCATTCTAGAACGTGAAAATATCAATTGAATGTCACCTCACAAATAGACATTCCGTCTAGCAATATTCCAACTACTACTAAAAAACCTGGAAAAATCTCTACAATGCAAAGGTGCTGCAAACTGTGCTGTGAAGAAAATGCAGCACAATTTGGTAGAGAAATGGCCAGAAAATTGACTTAACAAGTTGCCACATTTTGTGATATCTTAGAAGAACAACCATTTTTATGTTTACCTTCTCTCAATGAAATCCATTAAAACAATGTAATTTTTTTAGCTTTATATCGTATATCATTAAAAAGTCTCATACATTAAAAGGTCTTCTCACTAAAAAATCTCATTCTTAAGGTATTTTTTCTGTCCTTTCTGCATGTCTTCGTGGTGTAACGTGTAGCACACTCGGCGCGTATTCGAAAGGTCCAGGTTCGAGTCCCGGTGAGGGCATTGCATATTATTCCCGTCTCCTGCTTCAAAATAACCTAATGACTCTATAGTGACGCCCGAAATAAAAGGTGGTGGATGATGATTCTTCACCAACAGGATTTGGAGACTGGGTCCTCTAATCTCCAGTCTCCCTTTAAAAGGGGGTATTTTCTCTCTCCTTTCTGCATGCCTTCGTGGGGTAACGGTAACACACTCGGTGCGTATTCTCGAGGTCCAGATTCGAGTCCCAGCGAGGGCATTGTTAATTTTTCACGTTTCCTGCTGAAAAAAAAAAAAAAAAAAAAAAAAAAAAAAAAAAAAAAACTAATAACTTCAAAAAAAACCTCTTCCTACTTTAAGTGGGAATTTTCGGATCATATTATGCAGCATATCACATTTATTATTTTTTAACTTGAGAATGAGCCTTGCAGTAGATCTAATTTAGTAATAATTATCTGTATGAAAATTTAAATCTAAAATTGTTGGAAAATTTTCACTTTGATTGATCTCAGAGAGAAATTTTTAAATCTCTATTCATTTTTGAGATCGTATCATTTATTTAGCTCCGCATATCATTTCTAAAAATAATTAAAGTTTTCCTTTTTTTTTTTTTTTCAGGTCATAATTGCTCCGTACGTGGAATGTGGGCCAGTAGGCACAAAGTTGGGCTATAAATCTGGCATATTTAAAGATTTTGTATCCGAAAAAACGAGAGGTAAATTGAAAATAAATATGTATGTTAAAAATATATAAAAAATTTAATATGAACTCTCAGATATATCAGTTTAAAAACTCAAGATATCATTAGTTGATAATTATTACATAGGAGTTCTTTGTTCTTGTACCATTCATTAATACTTATATACATTCGTTAGTTACAGCTATTTAGGTGCTCAGAACAGAACGAGCTCTGAAATGCATTGAAATTATTCTGGAATATTAGATAAAAATAAAATAAAATCTATTAAAGAATGCATGAAAATTTTGTAATAGCACTACCGTCAAGTATGGATTAACGAACGTTAAATGCAGTGTATTGTCGGAATTGTTTCCATGCATTGTGTTTTATTAAATAAATAAAAAAGCTCATAAATGTTTTTTTTCCCCCAAATTCTAAACATGTAAATAGGTCCAAGCGTCGTAAAATAATTTTTAGGATTTTATAGGTATAAACATTATTTTTAATATTAAATATTTTCAGTTGATTTTGATAATTTTTTTTATTGCAGATACCAAAATTCATAAAATATATAAACAATTATGAAAATTTTCTCCAAAAATGCAAAAATTAATATGCAGTGCAAGTAAGCTTAACTATAAGCTATTAAACTATAGATTAGATTATTTGGATTATGGCAAATCACACGAAGATTACTTGCGTAACGGGAGGATAATTTAAGGGAAACTAGCTCAGATTCACTTTACACATGGGGGGGAGGAGAACTCCAATGGAACTAGTCCCTTTGAAAGAACGGGAGAACTGACAGGATTTGAACTTGAATAGTTTTACGTTTCGGCCACACGTTTCGAATATGACTTGGTATTTTACCATTCGAGAATGAAGTCGCTCGTGATATGAGCTGAGACTATAGTCCTACTCCGAGTAAAACTACTATACCCGGACAAGCTCAACTAGAATGTGGCAACTACAGTAGTTGAAGACTATGATGATAATATGGAAAAATTGACTTGAATATATTAATCACTATCTCCCATCCCTCTTCCTCTACCACCACCCACTCGAGTAGTCAGCGTCACAATCACTATACTGTTTAAATGGCCGCCAGTATTTTAAATACCCCGTGCCGCACAGATACGATTATTCTTACAAATTTCGAAGCCTTCTCCGGGACTCGAACGGAGTCCAATGAACCGATTATACCGTTCGGGACGAATTAATGAGCACAGCAAGATTGAGATCATGTCCCCTTCGAGATCGAGATTCAGTACACAGAATGAATATCGATGAGTTTTCACCTAGAAAGATATAAAGGAATATAGACAATGTAAAGGAAAGCAATAACTTTGGTTGAACTGGAATCTTTATATTGGAAGGCATTATGTTGGACGGCCGTAGATCCCTTCATATTTTCAATGCAGGCCATGCGATATCACAGCTTTATGGGAATGAGGTTCTTAGACCTTATGGAGGTTGTTGGAAAGAACGTTATTTTTATGGACAATAATGCAAAATCACATGAGTTCAGCTGGTCAAAGGCCTTTCTGGAGAAATAGATTATCCGCCATAAGCTGTGAACGGCAGGATAACTGGATCTAAATCCGATACAAATGTTATTGGCTACAAGAAGTTCCGAAACAAATGTTTGGAAATTTCCCGTAAAAGCCACTTGACTACAAGACGTTGTTGTTGTTGTCGTGTCCATATTGCATGGAACATTGGTTGCCAGAGCCTACGCCGAAGAGAGGTTGGACTTGTATTTTCCACTCCCAATTTTGAGGGAAAGCACCTCGGAAGGGATCCGGGTGTCTTCCATCCCACCAATCCAGGCGAGAGGACTTTCGGCTCGCCGTCTATTTGGAGTGACGCTGAACATTGACAAACATCCATGTATTCTCTGGGATTCGAACCCGGGCCCTTCGGTACCACTATAGCGTCTGGGCGAATCTTCAAGACGTTAACACCAAAATATTAAAATGTTCCTTTATAGAAGAATGCGATTTGCTGCCGCATGCTATAATCAAAAATCTCGTTTATAGGAATGCAGAGCTGTCTTGGGTCGCTCTGGAAATACGTGTGAAAATGAAGTCATTTTGGGTTTCATTTGTATACTGCAAGAAAATTATCCTCTACTTACATTGTTACGCTATTGTTGGATATCTCATAGTATCAGAATTTCATTGCTATTAGTAAATTACTCGTATTTTTCGAAATGCTCGCAACCTTAAATATTCGCTCTAATATATTTTATAGCCTAGTCAAATTGGGCAAAATATATAAAGAAATAAGTAAGATAAAGACTATTTCGGTGCTGTGCATTTTCCCAAATAGAATTGGTCAATCCCCAAAAAGAATATCTCGATATAACGAAAATATGTGACTGCTTAATGCCCATACAAATTTTACCCGTGAAAGAAACGATAATAAAGAAACACTACAGTTTGAAGCCATTAAAAAAAAAAATAAATTCAACAGGTCACTAATGTTAAGATCATTACTATTAGTTTCAAAGAGCCGAAAGTCTTGTTGTTCAAGTTGCAGATGCGAAATGTTTAGTTCTAGCATCACATATTGGTTGCAGATTTCGTTTTTACGGAAGCTCCATATTTTGCTCTCGGATTTATGTTTAGAAAAACTGCTGTTGATACAGCTGTCCCGCACTTCCACATAGCAAAGTGCCACACGAGAGGAACGGTGTTATACCGGGGTCCCTATGTCTGAGACCTTACCCTCTATCGAACAATTAGGTCATTACGAATAAATACTGTACTATAACTAAACTGGGTCATATAATTAATAATTAAATGAGTAAGATATTTTAGCAAATCTTAACAATATGAATTACTAATTTATCTTAGAGAATTTAAAAGATCTAAATAACTTTTTTTTTAAAAAATCATATAGTTAAGAATATGAATAGAGTGAGGTGTAGGTGATTCAAAACGTAGCAGAAAATGCCATTCCACATAACAGCGGTTAATCTATTTAATTCCTCTCATGCGTAACTGCTTGTAGCCAGTAATTGATTAATCTGATTACTGTTGCCATGATTTGACCATTTCCTTACACCCTATAGAAAATAAATAAACCTCATTGTGTTATTATGATTTCATTCAAATATATAATTGATATGATTAAGTACAAGGTGTGCGTACATATTTCATAGTAAATAATGTGTTACTGGTTTTTGTTTCTAGTGTCTCTGTCTTGCCGATCCAACGATATTCTCGTCAACTTAAACTTCTCTGACCCATTTCGCGGACTAGTACACGCCGGGAAGAAGGACAGTGGTTGCAGTTTTCGTGGTGATGGCAAACTGTCGTACTCACTTAATGTCCCTCATGCTGCATGCGGAACCATACATGTGGTGAGTGTCAGTGTATTTGAGCTTGTGTATAGGTTTGTTTTTGCCATCTCTCAACATACATTATGAAAGAATATTCTTGAAACAAATCTATTATCAGGAGTTTGAAAATCAAGAATTTTATTAATTAAGAATTAAAAAAATCCACAGATTTATGGAGATAAAAGATAATTATCCAGGAAAAAGTTCATAAAATTTTTGTTTATCTAATGAACAATTTAACTCTTGATGAGACCGGCGAAATAAGCATAAGGAAATGTCTTGAACGATTATCATTAGACCCCTATCGTAGTATAAGTTTATGCAGTTTTTCTACAATATTGCGAAATGATAAATATTCAATTAAGTGGAATTATAAAATTTAATTTAAAATCTTGTAACGTTTCTTTAAAACATTGCAACAGTTAAATTATTTATTTATTTTTTGCATGTTTATTTGACTGAGTGACACTTCTCAAAAATATATTTTATATTTTGAAGCCATTGCTGGTACATAATAGCAGAGTTCTACAACTTCTTCAACACTAAATTAGTAAAAATTGAGGTTCATTCTCTAAAATTTATTATATAAATTGTCCTCTGCGGAGACACGATCAATGTTTGTCCTGTAGTAAGTATTCAATGTTTGGCGTAAATATTCAATGTTTTGGGGGAAAAAAGAGATTTTAAGTTTATCGAGTCTCGTGTTCTTAGGTAACATCAAATGTACGAGAACTCTTAAGAATGAAACAATTATCGTTATGTTTTTTAAGCACCACCCTTTTATTTGACCAAGATAAAAATTAACAGACAATACCACTCGTGCTTTCAAAGGCAATAATTATGTTTTAAATCAAAAATTGGATGAATTAAATCTAAGACAAGTAAGTTATCCTAATGGCTGCACAAATAGAAAAACGCGCAAGCTGGCTGTGACGTAAGGTCGGCGTAACAAGCCTAAACGCGAGAATGATGCAATGCTGCAGAATACAAAGAAAAGCCCCAAAAAGAATATCTCGATATAACGAAAATATGTGACTGCTTAATGCCTATACAAATTAACAATGTGGCCTTCAGCAGGCAAAACACGCTCTAATCCTACTCTCTAAAACCTTCCTTTGAATACTGTCTTCTTTGTACCTCTTCTGAACATTACACGAAGTAGAAATTTACATTCTGGCAGAAAAATGGAAATGACGGAGATAGGAAAGATAATTAACATAAAAATATCATATTAGAAACTACACGTAAACTCCACAAGTTGAATCTAAGATAGCTTTTCTCAAACCTTTTTTGAATCACTGCTTCCTTTTAAATTTTTTTTTTTTTTTTTAAATATATGAATACCGTATTTGACGGCACATAAGCCGCACTTTTTTTTTCCTAAATTTGGTCTCAAAAATGTTTCCTGCGTCTTATACGTGAAGAACAGATTAACTTTCAATACTGAATGCTATTTTTAGCCCGGATAAAGATCTAGACTCGCATAACTTTTTCTACACCTGCCATAATTATTTTGCGCATGAGTGAAATATCTGTCGCCAAAGCTCGAAGCTGATGACGAAGTTTGAACAGGTTCGACGGTCACATTACGTCTACGGAGCCTTTCCTTATTTGCATAGACTTTCTTTGACTCATCCGGCACACACGTGTCGGTATCGGTGCTACTCTGTATAAATGTGTCGGTATCGGTGCTTAAAAAAAAAAAAAAAAAAAAAAAAAAAAAAAAAAAAAAACAAAAAAAAACTGTTTGTTTAAAAAAAAAAAAAAAAAAAAAAAAAAAATACCCTGGAAAATATGACTACAGGAAACAAAAGATTAAGCTATACAATTCAGTATAAACTAGGAGTGTTAAACTACGCCAAAGTACATGGAAAGAGAGCAGCAGTAAGGCATTTCGGTCCACCATCTACCGAAAAAGAATAGCTTGCCGTTTGTTAATTTTTCTTAATAAAAACATGTTTGGTAATTGCATTCAATGATTGTTTATTTGGCTTTTACGAAATGCGAGAACTAAAAGAAACCACATTTTAAGTTATTGTGGTACCGCGCTGTCGCGCGGACTATTGAAACTTTTTTTTCCTGTGTGTGGCCTTCTAAATAAGGGTGCGTCTTATATGTCAGTGGCATCTTATATGCCGTCAAATACGGTATATGTGTGTCTTATTAAGATTAAAAAATCATTAAATTTATTTAAATATAAATTGTAACGAATAAATTTAGTTAATTCATTGCATTATAAAAGATTAGAACTTCTAAACGAATATAAAATACATCAATATACTTTTTTTTTTATTATAAAATATAAAACTGTGCTATACTTTTCTATTATAAAATACAAAAAAGGATTGTATACGACATTGTCGATTTACAGGGCTATAAAATCGGTAAAGCTGATACATTGTTAACAAATTTTAACATAATGATTCATTTGTGATCATGTACGCTTTGAAGGGAAAAAAATTAAATAAGAATTAAAATAACTGTCCGCTCCCTCATTAATATTATTGTGTGTCAGTGGGCTGGTAATATTTTGAATGCACACAGCTCCGATGATAGGTTGATAAAATTTATTTTTTCAAAAGAAACACTTCAGAGATCTGGAACTTTCCATAAAAATAGTTTTACACAACTCTTCACGATATCATAGAGTTCCCACCGACATCCGACATATTTGTAGTATTTTCTGCTTCTCGAAATTGCTGGAAAGCAATAGGAGGGGCGAATTACGGCTACAGCTTATATAGTTACCAATTACAATACTTATTACGGTGATACAGAGACTGGACCAAAATGTCGTCAACTTTGGCGATTTCTCTCCAAATTACCGAGATACTCATTTACTGAATGTTAAATATATTGCCTCTGTATTCTTTCTTTTCCGGCATAGCTTGCCTCTTTAGATTTTTCTTGTTACATAACACAGAAAAATACAACATATCACATATAACTACACTAACATCATCTATCTATGTACAGAATTTGTAACAATAGTATGCGTTAAAGAAATAATTTTACTAAGAGAAGGATTTTGTCTAACTGCACAACTTGGAATCAAAAACTATCTGTATGATAACACCTCTAAATAGTATAGCTAAATAATATTAAGCTTACTGCAAGTGAAACAAACATTTAGAGTCCAATTTATAACTGTAGCTAATTAATAATTGAACAAATTTACATCTGATCAAAATTTTCAGTTCAAACAAACAGATTTAAATACGGAGTTGCACATACTGCAAGAATTTTTAATCACTTAAAATGTTACTTTACTAATTATAAATCACTTAAAATGTTACTTTACTAATTATTAAAATGTTATTTTACTAATTATATTATAATTAGTAAAGTAACATTTTAAGTGTTATATTATTATAAAATAGCCATAATTTTCTAATAAGGAGAAAAATTGCTTATTTGTTTCTCAGAGAAATGCTCACGGTAGAGTTCATTTCATTAGAAAGTGTAGAATTTCTTGAAGGAATAAAACTCAAGTTTTTAAATTTTTTTTCAAATTTATGTCTTCTTTTTCAGGACAAATTAAATGGTTTAGATGACTCAACACAAATTAAAACATTACGTCTAGTAACGCACAACAAATGTTTTAAGAAAACATAAGTAACTTTCAAAGACGTTATATGTATTTGTTCCATTACTTTTCACTTCCTCATGGTCAAGTTGGTCCCTTTGTAATTTATTCATAAGGGCTAAGTGGCCCTACTTGGTGATTCTCACAATTTATTAAAATGCCTCGGTTCTATTTGATCTTAAACAGAAGAAGAGTGCAAAGAATATGCGCCTACAATTTCATGTTTTAGAGCTTTATTTTTTTATGTCCAAAGGGGCGATTATTTTTCATTTACATACACATAACATTTCGGTTAAAAATATTTAAAAACAGCGTATCTTTAGGATTTCTGATAGACGTTCTCGTGCGCTGGAGATTATAAAAATGTTTTTTTTTTTTCCATACAGTGTTGCCATTGCTCGCTTTGAAGTAGCTGAGTTTGTTAATAAAAATGAGTTAAAATTTTACAAAATACAAAACAAAATAAACAATAAAACGAATTCCAAATTTGGGCTTTTAAGTGCTCATATGCAGGCGGAAAGACTACATTATTTAAATTTTAATGGCTCTAGATACCATTGTTTTTTCACAATGTGAGAAACATACATACATTCATGCAGATTCTTGATTATTTAATTTCTTTAAATATAACACAGGGCGATAATGTTTGGTGGCAGCAGTTTGGAAGGTGATACAGCTCTTTTAGTGATTCAACACAAAATGTCGTTTTGAGATTAAAGGCTTTCTGGGCTTATGCCCCTAAGGCCCATATCACATGGCATTTGTTTCACACGAACAACTGTTTCGGACAATTTTTCTGCCTGGTTTAACTATTGAAAGAAAGACGTGAGACTTTTTCCTTCCTTTCCAAAAAAATTGCAAGTTCTTCGTTTTCAAACCAATCAGCAGCTATCAGCTTGAATACTACCAACTTTTTCATGGAGAACCAGTTTCCTCCTGTATTAACTCCAAAGCGATCTATAGTGATTGGCTGTTGTGACAAAGCAGAAAAATTGTTCCAAACAGCTGTTCTTCCGAAACAAACCGACGTGTGATAGCAGCCTAAGGGTTAATAAATACTGCTTAAAATTTAAAAAAGAAAAACTATCATTTTAAAATTTTAGGGCATGAATCTAAACTATTATATTGATGCAAATGAATCCAGCATTAAATGAAGAACATTTTTCTTGGTACTCTTTGTTTAGATGAGTACACCCAAAGGTTATTTTATTTGTCTATGGGAAGGGATATCTTTAAGGAAATTGGTTTGTATTACACATAAGGAAAACCACAAAAATATTTGTGTAGTCAGCTCGTTTGCCGAGATTCTTATCTGTGTCAGATTAGCACTGTTGAGCGATCTTATATGCATTCTACAGATTTTTCCTGTTTTATATTTTTGTTTATTCCATAATTATCTGATATTTTGTCCCAAACATGGATGCACGCAAAATAAATAAATAAATAAATATAATCTAATAAATAAATAATAAAAACATCTGCATATTTAACAACTGCTCCATTAAATCATTTTTAAATAACAAGGGCATAAATCATTGGATGACTAACAAAATAAAGTTCGTTTTACTGAAAAAAAGTTGACATGTCCTCTATATTATTAAAAAAAAGTTGAACATTTTTACTACATTTATTGACTTGCCTGAAATTCGAATTTAATGTAAAAAGCAATAACTTAAAATTATTTTACAGAGTTCCTTCCCCTCTCTTGCCCAATTATGCATAATGATGAGCAAACCTTAAAATTAAAAATCCTTAACTCAATTATTTAAATACTTAATTCCCATAATCATTGTGATTTTAGATGCTTAAATGCCTTTTGCTTCTTTAATGACTCCACTTTCAATGAATTGCCGTGCTGAGCTTTACAGCTATAGGGAAAATGGGACCGGATTATTCAAAACTGGAAAAGGACAAATGTTTTAGAACTTGGAAGTGTCACATAACTTTCGAAGTATTTTCTCACCGTATGTTTGGTGGGGCAGCATGACTTTTCCAGATCTTACTACTAAACCAAAAATCTTAGGCCATCTCTTTAGTCTTGGTTAATAACACGAATTTGTTGAAAAGCAATATTTAAAAAATATAAAGCATATCTACTGAAAATAATTCAGGACCTTTTTTCTTTCTGAAGCATAGGTGGTGCTCAAGAGTGAAAGGGGGTCGCCCTTCCTCCCACGCTAGTTAGGTGCCTGCATTTAGTTTTAAATTATTTTGTTAATTTTATTTTATAGCGCCTCGTATACCTCTCCTTAACTTAATCATGTATTCAATATGTAATGTAACTTAATCATGTATCCAATGTATTTAACTGACGGATTATATTTAAATAGTATTGCAAGTATCTGATGTATTTAAGAATTATTATAAGTAGTATTTGATGCATTTAAGAATTATGGCAGTATGCACACAAGAGCATGAACAATGCATTATAACAGCTAATGCTTATATAGACACGCAATCTAGCGCATTCATGTAACATCATCAGATGCCTGTTTGTTCATGTGACTTCACAGAGAAGCAAATGGCTTCCTGGGACTTGAAGAAGCTGCTGACTCAAGGTAGTGGAGGGCGTGGGACATATACCTGCTAACCTATGTTAGATACCAGGTGTCCCGATCCTCCATCACCTGTACACTTCTCCTCACATAATATGTGTATAACGAACAGTCCGAAAAACACTGTATTTTTTGCATTGAAGAATCATTTGTAGGGAGTTATATACAGAAAAGAAGAAATGCCATAAAGAAAAATATTCTTTATATATGTTTTCTGCATTTTTTATTTTCTGTATGCAGTTTTACCTTAATAAGCAGTTCTTATGTCTGGCATAAGCTTTATATTTTATACATCAAATTAAATGTAAAAATATTTTCTTTTTGACTAAATGAAATATGCAATTCCTTAAAAACTTACTATACTCATTATTATGCAATTTTATTCATATTTAATATGAAAACAGCCATTATTATTATTGTTGTTATTTTAATGATTACTGTTTTTGTGTTTCCACCGGGGGGGGGTCGCATTTTTCTACAATAAATTGGATTTATTAGTATTTTTTTTAAACATTCCAAACATGCATGCAGTTTTTATATTGAAGCATATTTAAAGCATAAAAAATATATTTTACATTAATACATGTCTTATGATCCACTTTTAAACAACAGAAAACTATAAGAAATTTTTAAAAAAAAGGATTGCTTTTTTTTGGATTAATGTTTTGAAAAGAAAAAAATTAATTTATACTTTGGAAATTCTTTTGCAGACTCCTCAAGACAGTTTTGCTAATACTCTTACAATACGTTATCACCCAGCTTTGGAATTAGAAGGTGATGAGATAAAAACAATTCTTTGTAAGTATGGTACAGGCAGCATTCAACTTGGATGAAAAACAAGCAAGAAAAAATTATGCAAACATTCATTAACCGTCTACAGTAAAATACCTTGCAAATACCAATTTAAAAAAATAATTCAAGTATTTTCATTGATATTTTTTAAATAATTATTTTCAATATAATTCTAAAAAATTAACAATGTAATAGAAGGCCAGTTAATTAATAAATGATTAATTAATTTCAAACACATTTAGACACTGTAATTAAAATAAGATTCTTACATTAATAAGTTTTATACAGAATCATTTAAAATAATTTGAGGGTACATTAAAAATATTAAATGCTGAATTCCAAACAAAAATTTTTAGATCTTATTTTTAAAATAAAAGGATTATACTATCATTTCTATGAAAAATCAAAACTTAATCTTTTCAGTAAAATGCTTTTTTACAAAATCAGAATGATTTCAGTTGTTTGCAAGTGACTGTATGACACAAAAATTACTTATTTTGCCATCTGTCTTTCAGTATCATTTACATTTTTCACTCTGTGATGGAAATGAAAAGTGGAGAACGACTATTGTTTTAAATCATTTTGTTATGTGAATGTAAAACTTTCCATTTCATGTAATAATATTTAGTTAAAAAAATTTAAAAAGAATGCTGAAATTATTGTGAAAATGTCTTCGTTATTAAAAAAAATTAAACACACTTTGAGTATCTTAATATGCAAACATATGAACATATTTTCCCATCTGATAATATTCAAGACAGATACATATGCAAAACTTCATAATAGTTTTAAAATAAAAAAAAATTAAAATTAAAATTTATTTGTGAAAGAAATATATATATTTAAAAGCATTTTTACAATAAATTCAGTTTGGTCACATTATTTTTATGCAGTCTTTAATTTATGCATTTATATATTTGTGTAATCACATGTAGATGCATATTACTGCTAAACATGCGTTCACAATGATCGACAAATTACAGATATTTTTACAGCTTTTTTGTTGGCAATATGTTTAATTGACTCTTTTAAACTTTCAGCTATCTATTTCCTCAATGAAATTGATGATTAAAAGGTACCCATAATTATGAACAGAAATTTAAAAAATGTGTTTACATTAGTCAGTCAAAATATTTCTGATAACTCTAACATATTGCAAATTTTATACTACTTGTTTTTACCTTCTTGAATCAATGAATACAGCTTTAATAAATAACGATGAACAGAAAATAATACCTTAGATATATATATATACCATTTATACTGTCAGATAAAATATCACTTCTTTATTATCTATTAATATTTCACATGTTTGATTTTATTCAACTTCTGCCTATTATTACATTACTGTTTCCTATAATAACTTTAAAAAAGCTAAATTAAATCTATATTCAAATTTCTTATTTTTAGAAATGTGCATATATTTTATTATGCCAAAAAATAGACTCTTCCGAAGGACATAAAGAAAATTCTAAAGAAAACTAGAAAACAAAACTGACAGTTAGTACAGTCAAAAGTCGTTAATTCGGACACCCATAATCAGGAAATGATCTATAATCCAGACCTCAAAGCTAAAAACTTTCTGCGCATACGTAGCGTTGACACATGCGCATAGGCGTTTACGCGTGCGCGTAAGACCTTTACGACTGCGCATATGCGTGTGCGCAAGTGCAAAATACGTTTTCGCGTGCGCGTTTAATGTATAACGGACGGTATAAGCTAAAATTATCTAATTATCTATTTCAATTAATGTTGATGATTGCGTTGTTCCTTAATCTTCGAACTGGATCCGGCTTATTACTTTTTTCAGACTGTAAGAGCAATTTTATAAAAGTAAACTTGAACTTTCGATTATGTCAAATAGAATTTCCGATGCTGCAGCTCCCAAAGGATCTACAAAACGAAAGTATGTTTCCATGTCCATCAAACAAAAAAAGTGGAATTGCTGCAAAAATGGATAAAGACATGAAGAAGGTGACAGAGAGGTTAGTGAAAATGAAAAAATTTCGATTGACAAGTTAGTCGGTATTCTCGGCACAGCAATTACGGGACTTAAACAGTGGAACTTTGTAACTGAACAAGAAATTATGTCTGTTTATAGAATTAAAGAGAAAGTATTATCACATAAAACGAAGCAACTTAAACAACTTGCATTGAAAGAAATGTTTAATAAAGTAAACAAATAAATATTAAGCTTTTTTTTTTTTTTTTTTTTTGTAAATTTTGATACCCTTTAGATCATAATTGTTCTTTATTTCATAAATTACGGTTTCATATTTTTATTTTTGAATTCTGCATGCCATTTTACGAGATTTAAACTGATGGTCTATAATCCGGAATTGCCGAAGTCCCGACTAGTCTGGATTAACGACTTTTGACTGTACATTTTATCCTGGGCACTGAACCTTAAGCAATTTACTGATGTTCAATTAATCCTTTTCAATTTAATAGTATGCTTCTTTTCACTAATCTATCTAAAATATTTTCTAATATATGTTAATTTTTTAAAAGTGTAATTATATAATTATAAATATAAAGAATGTAATTTCAGCAAAATGTATTTTCTTCTGACATTGTAAAATTGATTTATAATGTATTCTGAATAAATAAATGAAGAATTTGAGTATGTCATTATGTAGCTGAAAAGAAAAAGAACATACAAATTTATTAATAAAATTTTACTGAACATTATTAAAATATAGGGCAGACATTTCTAATACATTAATGAATAAACAATTTCATATGGTTTTAATAAGAACATAAAATTGTTCTTTCTCTAATGTTGAGATGCATTTTTCAAAATACATTTAGTCTTTTATGCTTAAATTAATATTAAACAAAATATCAAAGTTAAATCTACATAACAATATACAACATTATGTGATATGCTTTTGGAATGGCAAACATTTCTTGTATCAAAAAATTATAAAAGAGATGCATAAACACACATGTATCCATATTCCATGAATTTGAATCAACAGAAAAAAAATAGCAAAAAAACCATTGATAGATAATATGATCCTCTATTAAATACAATATACCAAATAATTACAGTGATTCCATATGCAATATTAAATCAAATGAAATGGAATACTTAAAAACAATAATTCTTGTTACTTTAAAGCATTAAAATTAATATTTTCAGCTATTTCATGAAGTTAACTAATAAGTACATTGAAAATTAATACCTGATAAAAGCATGGTTCATTTTGTTTAACAAAAGTAAAATAAAATTTAACATAAGAGTCATTTCAAAGGAAACAGACTCGCTTAGTGAAATTGGTGCCACAGGTAGTTAAAATAAATGAGAAAAACATGAGCATCATTTAGTTAATATGATACAATGGATATAAATTATGTTAAATATAAAGTGACACACGTCCCAATTTTGGCGCACGCCGATTTTCTAAAATGTCCCGCTTTTTAGAAAACAACTGCATTTCTTATTTTAAATGTACTCTAAAAATATATTACCTATTATTTATTAATTATTATAGTTAATATAAAGAAATAAAAAAAAACATAAAATGCATGCAGAGTAAACTAAATTAGGTGATGTAACGAGTTAGATATACTCGGTGGTGTTCGATCATTGTCGTTACGCAACGACGAGGAATATGTGTTTGTTAATGGAGGAACAGCTAGCATTAGCTGAAGGGCTATTTCTTTCCACACCATAAACCACAATCAAAGTTTCAGATCAATTGATTCTACTTCGCAAATGATCAAAACATTGTACGACAAAAATTTACATGTGCAAGCACAAAAATGGAAGCAATATATGTAATGTTTTTTTCACCAATATTCGTTTTCACAATTGCAGAGGAATAAGATTAAATTCACATTTATTATTCCATATATTATTATGATGCTTTCAACCACAAAGATTTAAAATTATTTCCCACAACTGTTAGACTTTTTGATCCAGAAACAGGAATTAAAATTATAATATTAAGATTTTGTTTCATTGCCGGGTGAAACTTCATAAATAATTTTGATTCAATAAGTACTATTTTAAAAAAAGAATAATTTGAACAATAAAATTATTGCCTATTCTGTGGATAACACTAACGCAAATTTTGCTGGAAAAGCTAGAAGAGACATCAATAACGTTTTTACGAAACTTAACGAACGTTTGAACCAAAAAAATTATTCGAGTAGGTTTGTGCAGCGCACCTTCTACACAATACTATTCAAACAGCATTTGACTTACTTTCCACTGGATGTTGAAAATATTGTTGCATTACAACATTTATTCGTATTTTTTTATATATATACTGTACGTGTTCCAAAGGTTTGAAGGAGTTTTGTGAAAGCGCAGGAAATCGAATATGAAAGAATTATTGATTACAGCAAAACACGATGACTTTTACCTCTTTTACAAGCTGTAGAAAATATTTTAAAAATATACGAACCATTAAATACACATTCTTATCACAAGATAAATGTCCAAGAATATTGCAGGTCTGTTTTTTGAAAATGACACATCACAAATTTGTCTTCCAGTTCATCCACAAAAAAAGCTACATTATTTCACAATGCTGTGAAAACTATGAAGGGAAACAAAATTTCAATTACGGAAGTGTCAAAATGAAATCAATAATTTAAAAACAAAATTGCGAGAAAGAATTGATAACGATTACGTTCCTTCAGTTATTCGAAAGGACATCACTAGGTTGGAAGACCAAGGTGCCATATTAAACGACCTGATTTTCTGAAAAGAAGTCAAAATTTTTATAACTGCTTGAATATCTTGAAGAATGGACTGTTCAATTCGAGGATATAAAAAACTTTCATTGGGTGACATTAAAAAAGGAGATTTTATGGGAATATGTGGAAAAATCTTTTTAATATATTAGTAACCATTTTCGGAAAAATAATATTTGCGAAAATGATCTTTTTGATGAGGTGTCATTGGTCAAAAGATACGTTTCTGATGAAAAATTAAATGTTGGTTGTCTGCAAATGTGGAAACAGACAAAAAAGGACGGAGTTATTCCTTCATTTTAAACAGAATAATATTCCTTACGAAATATTTTGAAGAAAAATTGTAGAACATGCACTCTCCCTTCCAGGAATAAATGAAGCAACAGAACGTGTTTTTTCTAGTATCAACAAAATGTGGCTAATTGAAAAAACGCAGTTGAACATTAAAACTTTGAAATCTGTATTAAGCCTAAGATATAATTTGACCTATCCATGTGAGAAATTTCACGACATTTTAATAAATGATCCGAATCTATTGCAAAGTATTCACTCGGATAAAAAATTGACCGTGAAAGAAAATCATAATTGTTTTAAAATAAAATATTAAATTAATTAAAAACATAATATTCAATTTTTTTACAAATATTTTATAGTTACCAATAGTTAATAATAAATATATTCTTGTATATTTATAGACAAGTGTATGAATGCATATATAAAAAAAATATTTTTTTGAATTATTGGTCTGCTTTCATAACTAAATTATAATTCTCATTTCATTCCATTTGTCCCCACTTTGTCTCAATGAAAATGTGGTCACTTTAGTTAAATAAGACTGTAAACAACGTCTCATGCATGTCTTTAAATGTGAGCAATAAGCTAGAACTGATTTCATATGAAAAGAAGCTGGCAGATTGTCAGAAATAGTATGATTAAGCTGACTACACACTTGTTTGATTGCATTGTTTCAGTAAAAATTCCAGTTAAAGTAAGTTAAATTTAGTTACAAATTTATTTAGTTTACAACTGACTCATAATCTGTAAATAAATTTGTATTCTACAGTGCAAGTCATTCTTTTGCAGACATGCTGATCAAAATTTAGCAAGAAAAATATTTATTAGCAACTTTTGCATGCCCTTAAGTACAACATCTATTCTATATCATTAGTTTTTGCTCTATGTGTCTTGCTAGTTGTAAAATATGCATGTTGATCACCTTTAAAGTTATTGTTTTACATTTTTTACTACTGAGAAAACAAAAGTAATACAACAGCATTTTAATATCATTTTACTTATGATATTAGCAACAACATTAGCCAAAATCTGTATAGAATACTGCACATAATTAGAAGGTATCCCTGAATACAGCACACATATTTGAACATATACAACACTATTTAGATTATGAATTTTATTAGTAATGTACAATTTAATATAAAAAGTAAAACAGAGATCAACATATCAAATTATCAAAATCACAAATTATGATAGAAAAGTAGTGATAGTAGACCAGTTATGATAGGAAATATTTCTAGAAATCAAAATTCTATTTGTGACAATTTGCATATGTTCTATCACTTTTGACTTAGTCATGTAGTTCGTTCCCTCCAGATAATTATGCATATTTTTTAGACAAACGTAGGGAGATAAGTAGGTAAACGGGAACTGAGAAGTTGTCAGTTGCCTGCAGCTGTTTGATGTCTGAAGAACATTAGCACAGTTTATGCCTAGATGTGGTAGAGCAAGCTGGAGGACAGAATCATTCACAAATAATGGCTGCTAAATACTGCTGTTGATTTCCTGGCTGGAGGAAATGATCCCAGAGCAGTACATCCCAGAAGCTTAGCACGATTAAATTAGTTAAAATTAGAGTTCCTCTTAGAATAGTATTGAACTGTGAACTTTAACACAGTCAACTGAACTGTTACCTGTATAATTTTGTTAATTCTCAAGTGCATTATTGTTCTCTGGAATAATACATTCTTTATTACTTGTTAGATTATTTTATTTATTATTCACTTATTCCTAATGAGGAGCGGGAGTTTTTTTCATGGGACCAGACGGAGTGCAGAAATGCCACAGTATTCCTGTTGGGAAATCGCCTCCAACTATACATGCGAGCTCGTCGCCATCAAAGTGCTCTGGAGATTTATCTCTCTAAAGAACGACCAGAGTTCCAAGGGCATCATCATCTTCTCTGACTGCAGATCAGAATTGCAAGCGATCCAGAAGGGCAAATGTCAACTCAGTCATCAGATCATTGAGCTCACAACAATCATTGCTCAAATCAAAATGGCTGCCCAAAGATCCTGCATCTTACATGGATACCGGCTCATGTAAATATTTTTGGTAATGAGAAGGCCGATGAGCTTGCAAAGGCATTCCGTGATTCTCCTCAGCCATCCAACTGCCTAACCCTCGCTGATGCCAATGCAGTTGCTAGTCAAAGACTAATTGGTCAAATTAAAGGAAACTCCAGCTCGGAATTAAACTGTGACAGAGCCATATCGACTATCATAACCAGACTTAGGACAAATCACTTAAAAGGGATGAGGATTTCTGGAGACGGACAGCGTGTTAACACCAACATTTGTCCTCATTGCCCAGATGACATCCCACTGTCTCGCCATCACATCTTCAGCTGCCCAGCAATCCAGGCCAGATTATTTAACATCGGCATTGAAGACCCGTGGACCTGCTTTATACTGATAAAGCTGCCGAGGTTGCAAAAGCTGTCTTTTTGACACAGCTTCGAAGCTATATAATTGCACTTTGTCATAGACACGACATCATCATCACTTATTCCTAATTAATGCTGTCTTTTATATAATATTGTTTTCTGTATTAATAAATGTTTCATATATATTACACAAGCATGATAAATCTTGTATTTCAGTGCTCAAAGTTAAATTTGTTCACTTATTTAAGTTGCTAAGTTCTAAAAAAAAAAAATATGCTTTATAACTAAATTGAACAAAAATGTAAGAAATTTAAAAGCAATCACAAATTTTGCACATTAAGCATAATATGATTTAAAAACTCCTTAAAATTTTATCTTTCATTTATATAATAAGCCATAACTGATTTTATGTGTACTCTTAATTCTTATCAGTTTAATGCCAAAATCTTATACAAGAAAAAATTTAATTTGGTCAAAAGCATATTTAGCTTGGAACATTGAAATTCGCATTTTCATTGCAAATAACTCACATGACCAACATGTCCTTAAACACAGGCATTCTTTACTATATACATCAAATTAAATTATATTCAAGATATATAACAAAACCATATTTGTCAGCTATACTATGCCATATTCAGCATATGTTGTAATTATTTTAAATTCAATATTATTTACTCACAAATCGGAGGAAGATATGAAAAAGTTGCACACAGACAAAAGTGTGGAAATACAATTTCCAAGTTAGATTTGAAGAACTTTATTACAGTTCCAAAGTTTGCAAATAAAAGTGCCTTCCCATACCAATAGTAATTTTAGAAATCATAATTTATCATTCACGTTATTATTATTGCACAAAATTATTTTAAATTAACTTTATGAAGTTAATTACTTTCATTATACAATGGACAAACAATATCCTGATTCATTTCAACAACAACAGTTTTCAGTTGAGAAAACTCATTAATAGCAGCTAAGCCATTTTCTCTTCCAATTCCAGACATTTTATAACCACCAAATGGAACTTCTGGAGGGAAAATGTTATAATTATTTATCCACACAATGCCAGCTTGAAGGGCTGAAGCAACGCGATGTGCTCTCTGAAGATCCCTAGATAAAATAAATTGAAACATAAGTGTAAAATATAGATGTATGGTTGTTAATTTGATTTCCCATGTAGTTACCAAATGACACTATAATTTATTTTACAAAAATCTGTACGCTGCCTAAAATTTGATATTGTAAATTAAAGAAATTGATTTTACAACAAATATATAATTTAAAAATTGTTAAAGCCCCATTTAAATAAATAGCTTTAAAAATATACATTAATACAACAACAGTATAATTTGTAAATGAAATCTGTTGATCCAATTAATCATAAAAAATAACTATTAACACAAACAAATAAATAAAAACTTTGTAGAATTTGTTATTTAGGTTAGGAAACTAGGGAATTAGTTATTTCTTTACTAGAAACTTACTTTGTCATTACTCCAGCTGCTAAACCAAATGGAGAAGAATTTGCTCGAGTAATAGCTTCATCTTCACAATCAAATGATAGCACAGATACGACAGGCCCAAATATTTCTTCTTTTACTGCTATCATTTCATCACTGCAGTTAGTAAGTACACATGGTGATATGAAATAGCCTTTTAGATGGCTTTCAGGAGGAGGAATTTTTTCACCACCACAAGCAACAGTAGCACCCTGAACAATTCAAAAAAATTCATTGATATGTAACTTAACTAAAAGCTCAAAAATAAAAGTTAATTCCAACTCTATAGTATAAAATGCACTTATTTAGTAATTTTGCATTCATATATTTGTAATTTAATTTAAAAAGGAAACATGACTGCAATTAATATTTTACAATAATTAATTTTGAGAAGTTAGGTTACTTCAATATTGCTAAACCATTAGGGATAAGAGGAGGGATGCCTTAGTGGAATACTTTCAGAGGAAAACTGGTTTGTATTTACACTGCATGTGGGGAAAACCAATCATGCAGCCAGTCTGTTCACCTGGGTTTGAAACCAAGACACATCAAACTAATATATTCAGTGGTCTTAACCACTGGTTCTTTATCAAGTTATGAATAATATCCTTTGTCTTAATTAATTTGTACAGTTTAAGATTTCTACTTTACCTAATATAAACAAATTTAACAGAAACCAGCATAACAGAAATACATTTTATATTTCATATATATATATATATTTTTATAAAATTTGTTTAACGTAAATTGACATTTGATTTAAAGATTTCATCAAGTGCAACAGATGTACAGTACTGAAAATAGTGCAAGCATACATTATTATGATAAGATAGAAATCAGAAGCAGAAGATATCTGTTAAAAATTTTTATTACAAGCAAATTATAGATAAAAGAATAAGGAAGAAAGAATAAAATGTGAAAAGACAAAGCGAATAAGCAATAAGACATAAACAAGATTATATCACAAATCTTTAGAATTCCTTTCAATTACAATTTGTACTTGCTTGCAGATACTTGTAAAAATAAGGCACTTCCAGTATTTAAAAAAAAAAAAAAAAAAAAAAAAAAAAAAAAAAAAAAAACCCTCTTTTTACTATCATTTTTTAAACTTTAATGAACTATGAAACTGATGATCAAATTTAAAACATATCTCTTTGGTACTTTTATTCGCATATATATTGCAACCTTCATTCAATAATAATTTTTACAATCAAATGTCCCAAATCAGTATTCAGCGCCTAGATGGTATAGTGACTGGGCAGCCTACTGCGATACTGAAGGGCTGGGTTCGAAACCCCAAGAAGGCATGGCTGTAATTTTCCATCCCTTCACGAGAGGTAATGGTGGCCCACCTATTAGGTACTTCCACAATAAAATGGCCATCACTTCTGGCCTTAGTAGTGGCCAAGGCTAAGTCAGTTAATTGCTCACGAATGGGGGGGAGAATCTTTTATTTTTCATCAAGTTAACTTGAATAAATTATTTTTTCTTATCAATTCTTTTGCCCAAGTAATGAATAAATGTATTTTGTAATTAATTCATTTTCTATTCAGTGCAACTAATAGCAAGTATTTTTACAATACAATTCTGACAAATATCTCACCTCTTTCCTTGCTGATTCAATATAACTCATAATTTTCTTTCCATGGTTCTCATTAATTGCAGCTCCAACAGTTGTATCATCATGGAGAGGATCACCAATTTTGAGTTTTTTAGTTGCTAATACCAAACGCTCAACAAACTCCTTAAGAATAGGTTTCTGGACAAATACTCGAGTACAGTTCGAACAAACCTTAAAGCAAGAAATGTAAGAGAAATATCTTAACATAACACACAAACAATACTTGTAAACAAAATTACACATAAATATGATAAATATTTTTAAAATCTTTCACAAGAAAATATTAAGTTTCATACAAATCTAAATACAGAATAAATTTTCTGCTTTCTAACAAATTACAGGAAGATTAGAAAAATTTCACAAAAAGAAGAATGGAATTATCTGAAAGGAAAACAGTAATGAAAAGAAGTCATTTTGATCAACTTTCAACAAGGAAAGAATAAGTCCTTAGGTATAAAACATTACTCCTTAGTTTTAAAGAATGATAAGTGAATAATCTGAGCCAATGAGTAAGTTCAGCTAGCAGATAAAACACCTTGCGAGAAAAACATAATATTGCATTAATATCATAATGGTTTCTTTAAAATTATAAATCTTATTTTAATTGACATAAGCAATGATCTTCTCACCATTTATTCTTTACTTAAATTTTCATATGTTATATTTTTTCAAGTGTTGGATTGATTTTATTTACATGGTTTGTTTTTTAGGCTCTGTCTGCTCAAAATAAAGAATAAGAATAAGAATAAGAGACTAAATAAATAACTTTTTTAAGCTTGTCTGATTTTGATGCTTTAATTTTTTGCACTACTTAACTTGCTATGGCTTGTAGGGGTTGGACTGACAAAGACACCGATTACTTAAATACAATTTAATTTTCTGACATTGTTTTAAGTATTAAACTTTAATTTGTGTCTTTGTTGGTTCACAAACAGTCTGATGTATTTAAATCTTTCGTTTCCTAATGACAATGCAGTTAAATATGTAAATTTCGTTTTTCCTTTTGGTATTTTTTGCACCATGCAGTTTGCACTGTGTTTCTTTTTTTTTTTTTTTTGGGGGGGGGGTAGTTGCTTGTTTTTGAAATGAATATCAGTTAGATTTTAAATGAATTTTAATTTATTTTGCATTGATTCCAATCGGACTTTCATATTCAGCTCATCTATGTAACCTATTTACATTTCTTAAAAACCTTTCTCATAATGATGTAAATAATTCTGAACACACTTTCAGATTTATTGGTGGTATAATCACATTTAACATTAATAAGCTTATTGAAAATAGCAACATCTACCCCAACTGTCTTAATAAAACCAATAAAAAATAATTAATTATTAGTAATAGATAATTTTGATATTAGCATTGATAATCTTAAAGAAATAAGACTTTTTGATAAAAGAACAGAATTTAATTTTTCTAAAATAAAACTTATAAATTGGTACTCCAACATCTCTAGAAAAGTTATAGCAAATACAGTTATTAATCAAATTAGTAGAGTTAAAAAAGTTTGCACTGAAATAGAGGGACAAAATGAAAAAATTGTAATTCTCACCGAAATTTTAAGAGAAAACGAAATTTCAATTAACTTCATTAACAGTCTTTTAAAATAAGTCTGTAGTAGGCTACACCCTATAAAATTTTTCATCTGAAAGCTCATTTAAAGAAGGATGTTTAGAAGGTTTTATAGTTTTTATTTTTATGTAATATTTTTTCGTACTTTTCTGTTTTGTTGGCGCAAACGATAAAGTCGCCAACAATGGTACAACTGGATGCCAAATGAAATATCTTCGCTGGTAATTTTTTACACCTCATTTCCAAAAAAAGTCACAGCCATTTCTTACCAGATTGATTGTTTCTTTCAAGAAAGAAAAGGTAAAATCAAGGGTTAAATTCATCAATTCTAATGAGAATGCACTAGTGAAGTAAAGCACTGCGATTTTACATAATTTCTGAGTAAGCTATTCGTTATGAAATGAAATAATTCTTGCATTTAAACTTCTATTCCAAATTAAGATTTAACTTGAAATTAATGTAGATAATTACTGAATTAGATTTTTATAGTGTAGTTTACGTTATATAAGATCACTTGAGGTCAAGTGATACAAATCGACGAATCAGGATGTTGAGCCATGAAAGCATAGTAAATTATTAAATTAATACCTCTTTATAAACTTATTGTCTTTATTTACTGGCGTTTTACAAAATATTAAACCATATTAAAATGTTTATGCCTTCAAAAATAAAAAATTCTTAGAACTAACGTTTGTTAACATTTTTTATGTTTATACTGTATGTTGTCGCCAACAAAGTCTGCTTAACGAAATTTGCGCCGGCAAAATGGAAAAGTACCTATTTTTTCTAGACTAGACTTAGCTGTTACTAATTTTGAGCTTACGATATTTCAGTCATCATGATAAGCCCATAATGAGAAGACTTTTTCTCCTCTAAAACATTTGTACCTTTAAAAAAAAAAAAAAAAAAAAAAAAAAAAAAATCCACGCACTGAATTCACCTCTTAGTAGATTTCTAATTCAATTTTGCCAAAAAATGTCAATGAAGCCAAATTAGCAACCCTTGGTGTCTATTTTGAATCTGTTCCTTGTTTTGAAATTTGTACTTTAATTATGGTGTTTTCGCTTCATTTCTTGTAGATTCTATCCATACATTTTAATTAATTTTTTTTCAATTTTAATCTTATGCAGTACAAAGTCCGTAATCCGAAATGATCTATAATCCGGACCTCAAAAGCCACAAACTTACGCATGCACGTAATGCGTTTACGCATGCGACTAAAGCGTTTAAAGAATGCGCGCATGTGTTTACTCATGTACACTTCCCATAGTGAAGAAAGTGACAGAGAAATTATTGAAAACGAAAAAATTTCAATCGACAAGTTAGTGGGTATTCTCGACATAGTGATTACAGGACTTGAACAGTGGAACTTTGTAACTGAACAAGAAATTATGTCTGTTTATAGAATTAAAGAGAAAGTATTAGCACAAAAAACGAAGCAACTTACATTGAAAGAAATGTTTAATAAAGTAAACAAATACATATTATGCTTTTTGTTTTTGTAAATTTTGATACCCTTTAGATCATAATTGCTCTTTATTTCATAAATTACGGTTTCACATTTTTAATTGTATAATTTCTGCATGCCATCTTACCAGATTTAAATTGATGATCTATAATCCGGAAAAACCCCTAATCTGGAATCGCCGAAGTCCTGACGAATCCGGATTACAGAATTTGTACTGTATAGTATAAAAATTGATTAACTATTTATTTTATTCAAATTTGGAAGTTTCTCCAAATTGGCTGTGTTTACTATTTTTTCACTAACAGATTGCTACTTCATCCTCTAAATAAGTTTTATTCATGTTCTTGGTTTATTTTTTATTTCAATTTTTAATTCAGTGAAAAAGTCTAATTTTATTCTTTTACTTGATTTGACATTGGATTTACCTGATGTCGAGGAGGACTTCAAAAAAATTTTTAGATGAAGTGTTTCTAATTAAAAAACTTTAGAAAAGTTCATCAGCTGATATTGACTTACAGACAGGCAATGGTTTCCAGTGTGTCTGATGTATCCTCCTCTTGATAATGCTACATCAAATTTAATTGAGTTCCTCTTCTTTATTTATTTTTCTGGTTTTGGTATATATTTTCAGGTTTCTATAATATACAGGTTTTTAATTTCACATGTCTTTAATTTTTATTTTGTATATTTATAGGATATTTTGAAATTTATTGGTATTTTATTTCAGTTTTTTCGGTCTTTTGTAAAATAGCTTTTAAATTTTTTACTTTCTCTCTCTCTATGTATATATGTATATATATGTTTATAAAATTTAAATTGAACTGTAAAATATCAATCAGACATGTAAAAACATAACCTCAAGAATTCATTTTGATGACAAAATGAGTTTGTCATATTCATGAACAGTTAGTATTAAAATTATTGACATCTTAAATATTTTATTCCAGAAAACATTAATAAAAACTAAAAGCATCACTTACATATTACTATTACCTAGTATATGTAACTAAACACACCAGACAAGTATGAAATGAAATTGACAGACAGCAGATATATGTTAAATGTAGAAAAATAATTAGAATTTTTTAAAGGATCCATGAATGGACTTCTTTGTACATTATAATGGGATCAAGTTATGTATATGAAGTTACACAAATTAAGTTATAAAACTTGAAGTCTCAAGTTAGAAACTTGACATAAAAAGAAATAAAATAAAACAAACTGTAACCATGCTAGGACAATGTTTATAACAAATGTTTATAAAAATTATTTAAAGTTCTTGTAATTTCATTTGGATTTAAAAAATGCTCACAACAGAATGGATGCCATTTCATTTCAAAAAATTAAATTTTAAATACCAAAATAATGAAATACAAATGAAATTTAATGTTGTGTATTACAATGTATGGAAGTATGCTTTTAGTAGCTGACAAACTACTTTATAAATGAAAAACTGCACTTTTGATTTGTGAACTAATTCTTAATTTCACCTTTGCACTCTAAAAGTAACTCTTATCACAATGGATTAATGCACTAAATGGTAACTAAAAGTCCCACTGAAGTGCGAAGGGTTCAATTTCTGAATCTAATCTTTAAACATATCACAACTTAGCTGCATTATCATATGGCTTAAATGAATGCTAATAATATTAATTAATACAGAATTAGGGAACAGAACACAAATAAACAAATTGTACTCACCTCACCTTGAGTGAGAAAATTCCCCAACAAAGTTGCTTTGATTGCACTTTTTATATCACAGTCAGAAAACACTATAAGTGCTGATTTTCCACCAAGTTCCAATGTGACCTTTTTCACAGTATCTGCACAGGATTTCATTATTTTTTTCCCAGTGCTAACACTGCCTGTGAAAGTTACTTTAGAAACTTCCGGATGTTGGCAAATGAATTCCCCAGTTTCTGAACCACCCTACATGTAAAATATAAACTGAATTAAAAGCATTAAAAGTGACTCAAATATTTTATTGAAGCAAATTTAGGCGAAGGATTCTGTGAATTAAATTATCCACTTTAACAATGATGTAGAAATAAAATGCAATAAAAAAAGTCACTAAAGTGTTCATGGAAATTATTTCATGAACATTATAATAAGCCATTTTGCTTACAAATTGCAATAGAATTCTTGCTAATTCAGCAAAGAAATTTGTTCACCTAATTTAAATTTATGGCCATAAAAGCATCACATAGGTAATTTGTTCTCAAATATTGCAGTGATGTTCTTTAGTTTAATATCAATACTTTATTTACCATTTTAATTAATTTAAATTCAACTCTACATCAGAAATTACAGTAGTGATGCAATATACTCATAGGTTTTTAAAAACATGAGAATTTTACATGAGTACACCTATTTAAATGAAATGTTTTAAATGTTATTGAACCAAAGTATATGTACCAAAGTATATGCACACTTTTAAATCATCCACGCTTCCACTAAAAACTCATGAAAAAGTATTCATCAAGCTAAGCAATATGTTGCCAAAATAATTGTGTGGTAACATATGATGTCAGCAAACTACTACATTTAAAGAATAAAAAAAAAATAATCATTAAAACCATGTTCATCGTATTCCAAAATATTATGAACAGCCCAAACATTTTGATATAAATCAAAATTTTGGGAAAAGGATCCTAAAAAATACAAGCAAATCATAGAAATGAGAAATCAAATTGAGATCAATTTGAATGAAATTGAAATGCAATTTGATCAATTGAATCAAATTGAAATGCAAGCAAATCAAATGAGAAAGTTTGCTAAGAAACCAAACATTCATAGAAAACTAAAAATATGAAAATCGAATCTCATCAAGTTAGGGATTTGGACTTAAATCATCAAATTGATAAACAGCTCCAGAATACAAAATAATAATAATAATAATAAATCAAGAGGAAATAAATTACCTTAAAATTTATAAGCACCTATTCCCATTACAGAATAGACAAAAACTGATCACAGATAATAAATATGATTTTATTTTTGATCCTGATCTCAGTGGTGGTACCAAATATTATCATTCAACATTTCCTAACTCTGTCTCTATGTACTTCAGGTTGAAGCCTAACAAAGCATTTGTAAGAAACATAATGTAATGGCATGGCATAGATGAAGTAGGAAATATCTTTTTCAGGAAACTGTAAACAATTCCTTATATTTAAACCAGTACATTAAAAAGGGTTTAGTTCTTTTTATTAAACATCAGAATGAAGATATTTCATTTTGATTAAATTTAACTACCAGCCATTTTTACTAAATATGACAGTGATTTGATTAATTGAACAACTGATTTTGTATCTAAATCAAATAATGCTTCCAAAATCCCCCAAGCTAGAGACATTGAAATATTACGTGGTATTATTATAAATCAAAATAATGAGATGAAAAAGTCTTGACTCATTTTAAGACAATTAATTCATCTTTGACTATCATATTCAGTTATTGAAGAAACAGTACAAGCATGTATGAGAAGAATGATGAAAATTTTAAAAAGAAATACAAACTCACTTGGATAACATTTACAACTCCAGGGGGTAATCCAACTTCTGTGAAAATTTCTGCTAAAAGAACTGATGTCACTGGAGTGAATTCAGAAGGCTTATAAATGAAGGTATTTCCACAAATTAATGCAGGAGCTATTTTCCATGACATGTTTTGAAAAGGGTAATTCCATGCTCCAATACCACCAACAACACCAAGAGGTTCTCGTTTTATTATTGCAAAATTACCATCAGATAATTCATGGTGATTTCCTTTAAATTTACAATATAATATATAAATTAAAGAAAATATAAAAAAATTAAACAAAAGTTTATAAAAGTAGTCATTTTGTGAAGTTATCACTGAAAATCAACTTTCAGTTTTCCCGATTTTCAATGATCAAATGAAATATTTTCCCTGACACGGCATAATGAACTAATTATCAATTAAATGAGTAATTAATAATTTTAATCACTTTAGACAAATATAATAAAATAATAAAGAATGTTATAAAATTTATATTTCCTCATTATTATGATACGAATGAAGTGTACATAATAAACATGTATCTCATACATTAAAAGAAAGGTGAGGTTTTTTTAAAAAGAATATTAAATTCCATACTTAAAAAAAAAATTCGGTTTTATCTTTGGATTATGGTAACTTGGCGATTTTTTTGGTGAAAATTTGGCGACCAACCCTGCTACAGCAACCTGCTAGTTTTTTTGTTTGGACGCCATTTTGTTTCTCACGACGTAAGGCCATGTTTTCTTTTTCAACTCAACGTTTTTTCCAACAATCTGCTAGCCGAATTACGCTTATGCTAGAACTTTTATGGAACAAAAGTGCTTAATTATGACGAAAATTAGGTTCGAAATTGGGAGAAAGTGCAGAATCATCGCCCACTGCTTCGCGCGCATTTTTAAGAATTGCACATACACGGTATCTACGTCGACATATTTTCACTTAAAAATGTATGTACACGTCGGCATATCCATGCACACGTCGACATATTTTCACTTAAAAAACATCCCAGAATTGCACAAAAAATGGCATTGCGCACACTCTTGACTTTATCCATGTACGCTGCTAAAGTCCTAGCTAGTAACCTTTATCGCCTTATCAAAATGTCACCAAACTATCTGTTACCATATTCCAAAGATTAGCCAAAAATTCATGACAACAGTACATCATTCATAATAAATATTACTACTGTATTTTAATATTAAATTGAAATTTTTTTAATTAATAAAGTTATTTATTATAACATACAATTATTTGGTATAGTGACTTTTAAACTGTAATATTTATTTTCAAAGAGCAGTTACATATCCAAAGAGAGAGGTAATGGAACAATTAGACCAGGGAACAATTTGTAACAAAATTTCTGTTGAGTTTGATTGAGCTAGTTTAGAGTTAAATAGGCATGCTGATTTCTAAACTTTAGTTTTCTTCTACAACATCAGGTCTCTTCTCTACATCTTACGTGAATATGACCTCTCTCCGTGGCAGAGTTGACTGACGAGCTGAGTATTGGCTGATATAAACCCTCTGACTGGTGCTGGGTGAACAATGCTGTAGGAGACTAGCAACAAGTGCATACATGTCTAGATTAGTTGCATTACACATTAGATACTGCAGTGAGACATCATGTGGCTCGCTGATATAGGCAAGTGCATTCTGATATAGAATTCAAGTTCTTGTTTGTAAGCAAGTTTAGCAGTATTTAGTTTTTATTTATATATGAACTGAAACCTTTCCTTACATCTGCCTCTACTAGTTTGCGTTATAAATGCTTAAACAGTCCTGACTCATTTTATTATATATGTGGCAGTTATACCATTCCTAGTCAAATGACACACAGTATATTTGTCAGACAAGCTTATTTTAAAGTGAAAGTTGGCAATCAAGATAGATCATCAGTCCCTCACAAAATCTGCAAGAGTTTATGGATGTGGATGAAAATAACACATCCTAGATTTCCATTTGGTATACCTATGATTTGGAAAGAGCATAAAGATCATTCAAACGATTGTTACTTTTGTATAGTGAAAGCATCAGGATATAACAAGGAAAACAACCGTAAAATAGAGTATCCTAGTTTACCATCATTACTGCCCAGCGCCTCACTCCAGCTGAACCCCCAGTGCCACTTTTCAAAGAATTAACTTCTTTGAAAATACAGAAACGATTCTGGTGAATATGGAACTGACCCCAATGAAGAAGATTTAGAATGGCAATTATTCATCTATAGTTCAAAGTGGAGCTTGAAGTGTATTCTCCTCCACAATGGAAATTTATTCGCTCCAGTCTTTAATAGGTTATTCAGTTTGCTTGTGAAAATAATAAGAAGATATAAAGAGAGTCACTGATTTGTTGCAATATCTCATGCACCAATGGGTCATTTGTGTTGACCGTAAAATGGTTTATTGGTCAGCAAAATGGATATACCAAGTATTCCTGTTTTTTTTTTTTTTTGCACATGTGGGATAGCAAAGCTGGTGAGAAGCATTGGATGCAGTCAAACTGGCTGCCGAGATCTGACCTGAAACCTGATGATCCAAACATTCTATATTCAGAGGTCAAAAGTTGGTCAAAACCAAGCAACAGATCTTAGACAATCAAACTGCTGTTCCCCAGTATTATATTTCTAAAGAAAGGAATGAAAAACAGCTTACTGACAGGTGGAGGAGCTATGGATTGATAACTTTATTTCAAATTTAAGCTAAGTTAAATACTTCTTGCAAGAAAAAGATTATAGTAGCTTTCTATTTGCTTTCTTTTTAAGACATGCAGTTTTCATTGATAGGTTGTTGCTTAAAACTATTTGAGAGAATTGACCAGTAATATTTTTTTTTTAACTTCCGACTTTTTGGAAGAAGTTCCAGACTTTAACCGACCATTTTCCATAATTTTCGGGATTTCCTAGGTGAGTGGGAAGCCTGTCTTGTGAATAAATATATAAAAAAATACAAAACAGATTAATAAGCCATAACTTTTAATATAAATCAAATTTTAGTTTCATGTGTAAAATCAAATGACATAATTATCAAATTATCTCAAATATAATTACTGTCAAAAGTCGTTAATTCGGACACGCATAATCCGGAATGATCTATAATTCGAACCTCAAAGCTACAAACTTTCTGCGCATGCGTCACGTTGACGCATGTGCATAGGCATTTACGTGTGCGCGTAAAACCTTTAAGGCTGCGAATATGCGTGTGCACATGCGCATAATACGTTTACGCATGCACGTTTAATGTATAATGGACGGTATAAGCTAAGCTAAAATTATCTAATTCAGTTAATGTTGTAGATTGCGTTGTTCCTTAATCTTCAAGTTGGATCCGGCTTATTATTTTTTGCAGACTGTTAGAGCAATTTTATAAAAGTAAGCTTGAACATTCGATTATGTCAAATAGAATTTCCGATATATATTTACTAATATGTAAAGGATCTACAAAGTCCGGATTAACGATTTTGACTGCATTCAAATTAATGTTCAAAATTTTAAGTTTACAGAAATATATAAATAGAAAAGCAAACTGTACTACATCACAGGCAGCTTTTATAATTTACCATATTTAGACATATATATGAAGCCCAATAATAAATCAAAAGCTGTTTTTGTCAAAATCATAGAAGAAAGCATTAAATTTTTATGAATAGGTAAAAATAATCTAATTTATGATATGTAATAGAATACAGTTGTAGCCTAGAAAATGCTGAACTTGAACATCTTTAAGCTACATTTTCTAAAACAATTAAGGCCATAAAATAAATCAGATTTCACTTTTAACTGAACATTTTAAAATAAGCTAAGCTTTGCAACAATAAAAACTAAAATAACAAGAAAATTACCACTTATTGTTGCTGCGATGCCACCGAAATATTCTATAGTGTTGGCACATTCAGAAATATCGATTCTGGCTTCCCATATAGGCTTTCCAGTGTCTTGCACTTCTGCATAAGCTATTTCATCTAGCCGAGACTGTAATTTTGGGTAAAAATAAAGCTGTTATTGACTTGATTTAAAGAACTAAACTATTTTTCTAAATTCAAATTATAAAATAAAAGTTCAGATTTAAATTTCCGAAGAAGCGATGGTGTACGGAATTTGCATTAAGAGTTTTAAGTTTCTTATAAATGCATATTTTAAGCAAAATGAACAGCATGTATTTAAACTTAAAAAAAAAAACCATGGTGAAATTAGAGCAATAATTTACGTTTGCACAAAAGATTTCAGAATTCCATTTAGTATATGTTAGAAAATAATAGACAAACTTTATCCCATGTTTATTAATCATAAATTATGCATATGGAAAAGCAATAGGAATGGCTTAAAAGAAATGACAGTGACAAAGACACTTTTTTTAAAAAGAACTATTAAATAACTATAGGCATAGTTTTTTAAATGAGGAGGTACAATTAATAAAAAAAAAAAAAATTTTTTTTTCTTTTTCTTTCTTTTTTTTTTTTTTCTTTCTTTTTTTTTTTTTTTTTTTTTTTTTGAAAAGTCCAACTTTGGTGTCTTTGTTGCTTACGTTCAACTACATTTCTGAGGTGAGTCGAATATGTTTGCTGTAACTCCTCATGGTACTTTTAAGAGATTCCAAAAACAACTCTTTTTATCAGTATATAATGATTACAGTTATGAAACTACTAAACTAACACTAGAAGTTATCAGTAATCATAAACTTGAACAACAAAATTACTTTGGAGACTGCATCATCATAATGTTTCCTTAGATATTTCAACTTGTAAATAAATTACTATATTTCTAAGTACTAACCAATCATAATTGGAGAGTTATTTACCCATTCCAAATAATTATATTTTGTGGTCTGCCAAAACTATTCTGAAGTTTTGTATGCAAGAAGGTTGCAAAGATTTTTTTTTTTTTTTTTAAAAAGGGTAAAAGTGCTAGGGAACTTTTAAATATCCTCCTTTATTTAATTTTAATATCTTTTACATGTTCATTGTGAAAGAAAAAGAAGCTTTGCCGTTATTTAAGCTAATTCTCTTGAAAGTAATCAATATAGATATTATATGCTTACATTCTGAAAAGTCTTGAAAATTATTAAAAAAATAAATACCAAAGTAATTTCCATTATATTTTCTCAAAATATTCTCTCTTGAGCTGTAAACAGCTTCTCATCCTTTGAAAAGAAAAGGTGATTCATTCAGTTACTCTTCCACAGCACACCCAGATTAGATTGTCTATTGCTAGCTGTTCATCACTGTAGACCAACATGTTCACCATGTCAGCAATCATCTGAAAGCTCAGACATCAGTCTTTCTACACAATTTCATAAATTTTCTGAATGTTTGCTTCAGTTTTCGAACTCGCAGATTGATCAGAATATTCATCATCTTCAACCTCATTATATCATATGAAAACATTTCATATTATCATAAGAAAACATTTTATTGACAACTTTTCTAAAATTTCACAAGAAATTTGAGGCTTGTTGATTTTTAAAGTTTAATTGCATTTCATTTATATGAAAATAACTCTTTCTCTTATTCTATAAGGGAAAAAAAGAGAGATTTATTACTTAATTAAAGCTATAACAAACTCTAGATTCTCTTTCAGCTATTAAGCTCAATAAAATACATAATTTCTCCTCTATGTAATAATTTAGATATTGCACATATCTATTTGTTGTACAAACAAAAAACTTTCATTTCATGAAGATGGCAAGTTTTTTTTTTTTTTTTTTTTTTTTTTTTTTGGTATAATATACATCATTACATACTAACTTACTTAAAAAACATTATGGGAAAATAAACAATACCCGTATTCTATTTGCAGCTGCCAATAAAACTTGTCCTCTTTCACGTGGACTGCGTTTTGACCAGATACTGAAAGCTTCTTTAGCACTTTTGACAGCAGAGTTAACATCTGCTTGACTGGAACACTGTAAATTGAACATAAAAGAACCTACAAAGCAAAAAATATTATCTTGAAATATAAATGCCAATCATAAACAAACAAACACACACAAAAAGCAAATTTTGCAAGCATCACTGCATTATTTTCAGTTATCAGATGAAATTCTTAGCTAAGAAATGAAGGTAAGAAAATCCTTTAGCATTTACAGAGAAGGAAAGTCCAATGTGTTCAATACAAAATACAACTCAAAGCGAAGTAATCATACAATAGGATTGGATTATTGGATTATTGTAATTTGGCACAAAACCTGTCAAGGTTATCTGCGCCAGACAAATGGTAACAATGCAATTAGTCATTTGTAAAAACTTCCAGCTTAGGTAAGAGACAGATTACAATCTATGGTAAGAGCTCAAAAAAACAGGTTAAAATCTATTATAAAAGCCAATATCTTTTAAAAACAGAAACAAATTACGATGATGTGCTTTTCCAATTAAATTTTTTAAGTCCAGTTCTGAACTATTAAAATGTTTTTGGCGAAAATAATTAAAACTCTGGCATTCCACCAAGATATGATGAACTGTCAGATCTGCGTTGCAGTTTGGGCAGCTGGGATTCTCTTCTCCCTTCAGAAGATACTCATGGGTCAGGAGACAATGGCCAATTCTCAGTTGAGTCAAGAGGACATCTTCCTTTCTATTAACCATACATGGCCAGTTAATCATACAATAGATTTTAATGATTGTTAAGGTTAATGATAATTCAATTTTTAAGGAATTCATAATCCAGTATTACCCAATTTATAAACTTCACAGACAAAACAATTGTATATAATCTATTTAGTGCATTTAATGAAAATAACTAGCTGGCAAACAGCAGAGAATTTGGCATGTATATATTAAAATGATGGAATATGAATTTCTAAAAATAATAATATTAACAGAAAAATTTACTGTTGCAGGAAAGAAGATATGCCATAAACAGAATTTTTTTTTTATAATGCAAAGAGAGCCATCCTGACAGATTTGAAAATCTGAAGCAAACTTAAAAAAACACTGGTATTCAAAATTAAAGTTATGAATACATTTGTTTTGAAATAATTCAAAAACAGATACCATTAATATTTAAAAAAATTTTGTCATATATAATTTTAAGGGCTGGCAAATACAATGTAAGTATTTAGAGGTTGTTAAAATATAATTTTTTTATGAAAACATTAATCTGACCAGTTTTCAAGTATGCAAAATTTATGTATGGCATTGTGTTTCATGTAAGCAAAATCACTCACTGATTTCAGTCAAAACGAGCTCTCAACAAGCATTTAAAAAATATATTGAGATTGAGAGGTTTAATGTTAGGTTTAAGGCTAGCTAATCTCAAGTAGGGATCACTGAATGGTTATGAGTGTTTCGAATAATAGTATCTATGTTATGATATCCATTTCAAATTACAAATACCATCACCCATCCAGGAGCAACAATAACTATACAGGATCAGTAGGTGCAATCTTTATACAGATACTGACACCTTTATGCCATGACACTCTCACAAAAATAGGGTTTGACTTTGCAACTTTGATTTAAAAGGCTACTCATTATTAATCAGAGCAGTAAACCAAAAATTGTGGAACCTTTTACATACAACCCACCCTATTAGAGCTAGCTGCCATATTATTGAGCTCAGGCTCAAATTCAGAGACGGCATGAATGTTTGTAGTTTTCTATCCCTCCCTCCTGCAGATGAAGTATTGGTAGCTTAATTTTTAAGGTTGTGCCTAAAATGCAGGATATATGAAACTTATCTGGAAGTTTTTTTTTTTTTTTGTTTTTTTTTTTTTTTTTGACATGATAGTAAACTTGACCTGAGTTTTATTTTGTATCATAATGTGGGAAATATACCTCATATCATATGAAACAAACAACAGAGACTTCAGCAAATTATTGGAGATGTTTTGAATGCTTAAAAAACTATTTTTCTCATTGCAGCAACTGTAAATATACTTTTGCCTTCCAGTATACAGTTATGAGAACTGATCATTGTATTTACATTTTTATTTTTATTCAAAAAGTTATTTTATTGACTTAATCTTAAAAAAATTTTTTTTTGAATCTTTTCAATTATAAGACAATATGTACTGAACAATCATCTTGAGAAATATATACGAGTCAATTTGATAATTTTATGATAAATAAAATGAATTAATGATATTAAATATGTTTTCATAGATAAAAGTGCAGTCAGAAAACATTATTTTATTATTAACTCGTATTCACTGCATTAAAATTTATTTTAAGCATAAGAAGTTACAAAGAACACACCTCTTAAGCTAGTTATTTCAATTAAGGAAAAAGAATGAAATAGAATGATATACTTTACAAGCTTATTACTAACAGCACTTACTTCAATTTCCTGACTACTTTATTTACTAATTTACTTCATTTTCCTGACTACACATATTTAAAAATAGCCAGCAAGGAACACTGGCACATACGCCTCTCTACGAAAAGCTATTTTCCCATCATGGAAAGATCGTTAATATTTTATCATTTAGTCATAAATCTCATAAAAATATAATTTTCTTATTACTGTGGCCCTCATCATATAAACAAGAACTGCTCTCATTAGCGGACTGTGCCAAAGTGATAACCTAACTCAGATTTCACAAACTGTCAAATGGCCAATGGTCCACTTATAATCTGCTTGTCATGACGACAGCTCTGAGTAGGGTTGTTGCTTTGGCATAATCCATTAGCAAGAAGGATCTTGGCCCCATTTAAATAACTACAGCTGTTATAATAATGGAGTACTAAAAACAGTTCTAAATTTCAGAAAATTTTATGTAAAAAAAATTGAAAAATAATAAAAATAAAATTAATGTCATTTAAATAACTAACAAAATAACTCAATCTTATACATAAAACTTTAGTTTTCCATCTTCAATTTATTAATACTACATAAGATACCATCCTTGGGCAGAAGCTCTACCTGTGGCAGGATTTCTTTTTTCAATGGTACGTAAGATTTCATTGGGAGCATTCCTTTCTCCTGCTAAAAAATTTAATACCTGACTCTTCTCCATAGTGAAATATCTTTGAAACTGCTTCACGAAACACTTCCAATTTAGCTTGATGATTTTAGTCATATTTTCAGAATCATTTTACAGAAATTCTGGGGGAGAAAATAGTATTCATTTAATACACACAATTAAATAATTTTATAAGGTTATCATTTATTTATTATAATTAAATAATAGAAACAGATTAAAAGAAGTGCATTAATTAAAATTTAAAATGGTAAAATTCAATTTTACATTATTTTTAATTTAAAAGATTTCTATATATTTTAAGAGATAATGATGATCTCCTTTCTTTTAAAGAGCAAAATTCCTAAGTAATATTGTCATTTAAATAGAAAAACGAAAAAAGTAACAAATACAGAATTACAAGACCCTTAATTTAAAAAAAAGAAAGAGAGAGGGAAAAATTATGAAATAAAACTTTTAAACAACATGAAAACAAGCCTGGAATTTGAATTATAAACTAAAACTTTTAAACAACATGAAAACAAGCCTGGAATTTAAATTATAAACTAAAACTTTTAAACAACATGAAAACAAGCCTGAAATTTAAATTATAAACTAATCAGACAGATTTTTGGTGAATGTGACTAGCTGCAAGAAAATATAATTTATCCAGTGATGACAACTGAACTATTTTAATGGGAAAAAGTTAAAAGCCTGTTCATGAAACCAATATTCATTAGTAATGACCTTTTCCTGACTTGAATTTGTGTTCTGTAACACGAGTGTCTGAATGAAAATGAATTTTCTCTTCTTTGGCCAGATTATTAAAATATTGCAATCAATCAGAAAAATTTATAAAACATATTTTGCACATCCTGAAACACTGCCAATATTATGAAAGTGTTTGTGCTCCCTGGGAAATATAATGCAAAACTGCTATGGTCTTGATCTAACTTTAGCATATTAAATAATGTTGGTACCTTCTGATTATCCTTACACCTACTGAAAAGTCAAAACTTATTGGTGACTTTGAAGAGCACTGAAACTCATAATACATTTGGGTATCTTTGTAGCTATTTCAATGATGTATCCAGTGTCACCGATTTTTTAAAAATATTTTTCCTATTGAAGAATGTTCTCCCTAGTGATCTACTGCCATTAACAAATTATATCAGAGAAACACACAAACTCAGCATCGCATACAACCTTGGGATTGCGTACCAGTCATGATCCCAAACTTCCTAAGAATAGCTGAAATCTTAACATGCACTCCAGTATAATGAAAGTAAAAGAGGACAAACTTCATAGTTCTATTACAAAATGTTCACATGTTCATTAGTGAAAAAAAAAAAGTTCACATGGGACAAAACCAATGCACTTAGTGGAAAAAAAAAATGTTAATCAGAAAAATGACTGCTGATTTTCAAAAGTCCAAATCCACTTGTGTTACACACATATTTGGGCTGCCACATAATTACTTTTTGGTAACACTGTGGGTAGCCACATAAATATTTTTTAGTGACAAGATGCATAGTCTCATTCACACTTTTTTGCAGTGTTTTGGTGGGAATGTGAACTATCATAAAATATTAACATTTTTTCCAGCATACTGTATTATAAAAACTAATTTTGTTTTATTTCCTAATTTTCATTTTGTATTCTTTTGAACACTTTTACATGTTTATTTCTCATCATATATTGAGCATGCCACATTCTGTTTCATGCAAATAAAATATTTGAATTGAGAATTGAAACCAATGCCAAAATCCAAAATTTGTTTTTTTCAAAATGAAGCAATGTTAAGCATCAGCCATGTTGTGGATTTTACAATAAATATTATGCATAAATGCATAACAAAGAAACATTCATGGCATTTCTTTGTACTCATTACCATGAATGAATTACTGTAGTGTAATGGAAAAGGTACTTTATTTTTACACACATTTTAAATGCACAGTAAACATTAAGTCACAATGTCTTACAATTAAAAGCCACATGTGATTATGTATTTATTTTTAATTTTTTGACATAATATATTATTTATTTATTTCTAGTTTTATGACATAATGCTTAAGAACAGTTTGACAAATGGTTAAATGGCACTAAGGAAAAATATTATAAATTTTTCCAGGATGTAAAATCTTACATAGGTCTCTTTCACAAGTGCATTTTATTTATAAAAATATTAAAGCTATAATCTTAGGGCTAAAATGCAGAATTGCCCACTTATTTTATTGGCGTTTGTTTGGTGCTTTTTTACAAGAGTAAGAAGAATAGGACTTTTGTCAATCTTCTTTGACTTTTTTAAGTGAAAATAGTCGATGTGTACATGGAAAAGTCAAGGGAATGTGCAATGCCATTTTTGTGTAATTCTGGGATTGTTTTTTAAGTGAAAATAGGTCGATGTGTACATGATACCGAGTATGTGCAATTCTTAAAAACGTGCCAAGCAGTGGACGATTCTGCACTTTCCCCAATTTTAGTACTTCTATAACTAATAGAAAAGTGAGAATCAGAATAATGGACATGATTGCTGAGGTTATATTCAATGGCATAATATTTTTCATAATGTTAAAGAATTTTTTGGAACTTTTACAGTAAGTGAAAGAGAGAAACTTCTGGCATAATAACAGTTTCCAAGTATTTCAATTTGCTATCAAGTAAAAATCATTAAAAGAACAAATATATCAATTAAAAACATGAATAGAAAAGATGGCACTTTTTACTTGTGCAGCTTACTTAGAAAATTTAATAACTTCTTTCACTCTTAAAACAGTGCCTTTAATTTTTGTAACTTATATTACAGAGCTTTTTTTTGGTAAACATAGTATTTTTTGAATTTTTAACAAACTGCAAAAAGCATATTTATTCGCATTTTTTATTCTGTGATACTCACGTAAAATAGGTAATCGGCTATGGTAGGTCATAAAAGCTAGTTTTTTAAAGGTTCTCTTTTTTTTCGTTTTCAGATTTGAGAGACATTTGACTTTCATGATTATATAGTGTGAAAAATTTATTAAGTATATCATTACTTAAAAATATTTTAATTCCTTGATCAATCTAATATCAAAATGTGTTTAAAAATTTTAAAAAAAAAAGACTCAATTTAAGATTTAATGATAACAATACTGAAAAACCTTGTTGACAAATTAGTCGCAAAAATATAACTCACTTCATCATATGAATAATACCAGTTATTTATAATACAAAAAGTATGCTTAAGATTCAGTCCTAATTTAATATTCGGATAAACTGTATCTTTATACTCAAGTTAGTCGAATATTTAAATCTGCAATTAGCTTCTATAACGTCAAAAATTAACTGAAATTTCAGCAAATATTGACAAAATATAATTTAAATAAATTGGATAATAAATTATGATTAACCACAGTAATAAAGTACAGTGATAAATTAAAATTATGCAAAGTTTTATACCGTAATGCAGTCAGTCGCGCCGGCTTACAACACGTGAATTTTGTTTACATTTAGGAAGTGGAACTTTTAGTGGTTCAGTCATGCTGGGTATAATTTTATTATTCTAAATACTCAGTTGTTTGAATTTACTCAAAAACTGAGTAATAAGTAAGTAATAAATATTATAAAATATCATTTTTCAGGGAATAACAATAATATTTGTTTTACAAAAAAATTATGAAGACACTTATGTTACAAAAACTCAGAAGCAGGAATAAAACATCTTAACTAAAAAGACTATTTTTCGGTACTTCATAACAATTTTTGAACTGAAAATAAGTCAGCCTCTGGAGATTATAATTAAACAAACTATATTGTAATACAAAATGGTAAAAATTCATGGTTTTTGGAATTTATTTGTTAATTTTCACATTTCGACAGATTTTGTTTATTTTCTGTTGAGCTAGATAATTATATATATTTATTAAGTTGTCAAAGCATGTTCTATGATCTGTACTTTAAATTTATAATTTGAAATTAAAGTAATTGTAAATTACTTAAAGATAAAATGAACACCATATATTAAAGATTTGTTACAATTTAAATATTGCTGTCCTACTGAAAATGAATGCCCTTCATTTTTCTTCGATTTTTTCTCGTAACTTCAGTAAAAATCTGATGTTTCCGTCTTCATTATTTGTCACTTGTCAAAAAATCGAAATATGTTAATAAACTAAACTTAACAATTAATTAATTAATTTTTTTTTTTTTTTTTTTTATACTGGTAAAGTAAAAAAAGTTGTACGAAAAGTTAACATGCATTAGTATAATTTTTAAAATATGATCTATTTACTGTCAGAGGGACTTGATAAGTCTTTAAGATATGGGGCCCTTTAAAGTCTGATGTACTATATTTTAATGCTATGTTTATACAATCTTTTAATTTTTTTTGGGGGGGGGCTTCCCCAAGAAAGTAGGGGGCCCTAAGCCGTAGCTTATACAAATCTTGCACTCTTTATTGTTGTATATAAAAGCTTCAGTGATCAGTATTTATGGAAAATTGTTTCAGGTTGATAAATACTATGTGTGGAAAGAGAAATATTTTTAGCTTTCATTTTAAATGCCCCAAATCTATTAAGATGATACTTTCTGTGCACCTCCACAAATATCTGCAGTTTTTTTGTTTTTTTTTATATATATATATTACTGTAGTATAGTGTAAATATACTGAAATTTCATTTCACATTTTAAAAATTTGTATAAAATATTTATTTTCTCCATTAGTTATTCTATTCATTTTTCAAGTCACTAGTTGGGAAAGATGTTGTTGTTGAGCTAAAAAATATTTGAGGTGAGTATTTTTTTTATTTTTTATAGTTATTTTTTCAAAGTTAAAGTTTTTTCAAATTTTTAAGTTCAATTTTACTTCAAATGATGCTAATTAAAAGAAAAAAACTTTCTGATTATCTGAGCCCTTTTCAACATTTGGGTGAAACTTCTTTGTTTTTGGTGTATTTTCAAGTATACACATAGAAATCGCTAATTTACGCACATACCATGTATATATGTCAGAACATGTGGATTTATGTATTTTAACTCTCATTACATTGAAAATTATCCGCCAGCTGTAGAAATGCAGATATTGGCCAAAAGGATTCCCTGTTTGTATGTTTCTTGCAATTTTATATGTTTATTTAGTGAGATTTTACAAATACGCTCCACTGCAGTGTCTAGCCACATTAATGTGACCAGCTGTCAAAAGCCGGAATAACCACCTTTCGCAGAGCAGACTGTTGCGAGGAGACGTGCAGGAAGAGAGTCAGTAACCTAACTGATTGAGCCATGCTGGCTACAATGCAGTGGCCAGCTGTGCTATGTTATGCAGTTGAGGATCCATTAAGCAAACAACCAAATCGAGGTGGTCCCACATATTCTCATTCAAGTCCGGGGAGTTTGCTGGCCAGGGGAGTATGATAAATTCATTCTGGTGCTCTTCAAACCACACATGTACATTGTGAGTTGTATGACATTTCGCATTGTCCTGCTGGTAGATGCCATTATTCTGTGGAAAAACCATTCGCATGTGCATGTGGCCATGGTCCGCAAGGACAGATGCACATTTCTGTTGATTTATCATGCCTTCCACAATGATGAGTGCAACCAGAGAATGCCACAAAAACATTCCCTAGACCATAATGCTCTCTCCTCCAGATTGGATGCTTCCGGCAATTGTTGCAGGGTGTTTGCTTTCTGACGTTTCATGCCCTATATGCCAACGTCCATCTGCTCGAGGAAGCATTAAATGTGATTCAGCGAAAAAAGCTACCTGTTGCTGCTCAGTTGACATCCATTTGCGATACTGGAGTGCAAATTCCAGCCTTCATCAATGATGATCTGCAGTCAGCATAAGTGCTTTAACCAGGTGTCTGCTGCAGAAGTCGATATGCAGCAATGTTCGCTTAACCGTCATTGAGGAGACACTGTTGGTAGCCCCCATAGTTCATCTGGGCAGTCAGTTGCTGAATGATACACGTTTATTCGTCTAAATGCATCTCTGCAGCTATTCACCACTCTCATCTATGGCTCGTAGTGCACCATATTTGTTACATCGCTGATTTTGGATAGTGTCATTTTGCCATGCAAGGCATACTTTTACCATGGCAGCACACAAACAGTTTACAAAATTAGCCATTTCAGAAATGCTTCCACCCTTGGCTCGAAAGCCAACGATCATGCCCTTTTGGATGTCAGATAAATTGCTCCTTCTGCATTACACCAATGATTGCAGTGTTTTTTGATTCTCTTAGACACCTTTTACATACACTCAACTGCAGTATGCTGCTACCTGCTTTCTGTGATTGGTTATTTCACGATCACATTGAAAGTAGGTGGTGGTCACATCAATGTGACTTATATATAGCATCATCAAAAAACACAATGTTTTATGCATGTAAGATTTCCGTTTTCGCAAAAGCTAAAGTCTTAGTTATGATATTTATTTTTATACATATATGCAAGTAATTGTTGTTCATTAACTGAGAAGTACTTATTATATCATGATAATACATAAAATTATTCAGAATTTAAATTTCTAGCATTTTTTTATAGGTGTCAATGTACTAATATATACATCTTCTTCATTCTAAAATTAATAAACTGTATTTGCTTTATAAATAATAATTAATAAATTGCATCTGTTGGTACCAACAGATGGCGCCACTTGCTTATTCTTGTCCAGGCTTTCTTATCTTATCTAATCATTATTTCCTATCTTGTTCATTTGCGGTTTTGCAGCTGAGGATGGTGGTTCGGTAAAACCATCGAAACTAGTACTGTGAAAATTTTGTAAATATAACGCTGATTTTTGTTGTGTGACTTCTAAATTAGTATTTATTCGGCGTGCTATTGTCTCTTAATTTTAGACACAAACTAATTTATGGTCGGCTGCAAAAAATTCAATACAATTTAAAATTGCACATTAAAATCAAAAGAATTTTCAGAGAGGACTATAAATTTGATACTTTTGTTATACTTTTATAGACTGTCTTGCAAAAGAAGCATTATTGATTAAAATGTGAAAAATGATATATAAATCTATCCATTTCGAAACTGTGTCCATTGTTCTTGAGTAGCTTTCCAGTGCATAAAATATAATGTATATGTTGTTTAGTAATTTATATTGCTTTATTGCAGCATCTGTGGTACATTACATTCAGCAGATCAGTATTTAAATATCAAGCTTACTGATATAAGTGTTACAGATCCAGAAAAATACCCTCATATGGTAATAATTTTTTTTTAGACTTTATATTTCTATTTGCCTATAAATGCTCTGTACTGCTGCATTTATGAAGTGAAATTGAAGTATTCTAGGTATTTTTCTGTTAGCTGGTTATCAGAATATTTAACTCTGGAGGACTGAGATGAAAGAATATTCTGGAGGTTGTTTCTTCTGTTGGCTTCTGTGAATTTTCCTCCCTCCGTAACAGCAAATCATTGGTACAAACTTTCTTTGTATAATTCTTTCAGTCTACAGTTGTATTGTGGTTTATTTGAAGGTGAAGTTCGTAAAATCCAACCACCATTAACTCCTGACACCATAGAATATGATTCCTAAAACAGTGAGAAAAGATATGTGTAATCAATTGAACTAGGTCTGTGTCTGTATTCCTTTTATTTCTTGGTATGGTCATAGCCCGCATAGCCACCTTGGTGATGAATCACCCATGCATTAGTCTTATTGGATGATCATTTGAACATTGTATTTCTTTATGAAGAATTCCACTCATATGGAAAAATTGGATGTTCGCCTCTTTATCTTTAGGCAGTTGCCAAATTGTGCAGTTCATTTTAGTGTTTTAAAAAAATGGTTAGTTTTTCTAAAAAGATTCTTTTTTTTTAAATGGGTTATTATAGGGTTGTTATAAATACAGTCAAAAGTCGTTAATCCGGACTCGTCGGGACTTCGGCGATTCCGGATTATCGATTTTTTTCCGGATTATAGATCATCAGTTTAAATCTGGTAAGATGGCATGCAGAAATTACAAAATTAAAATATGAAACCGTAATTTATGAAATAGTGAACAATTATGATCTAAAGGGTATCAAAATTTACAAAAAGAAAAAGCTTAATATTTATTTGTTTATTAAAACATTTCTTTCAATGTAAGTTATTTAAGTTGCTTCATTTCATGTGACAATACTTTCTCTTTAATTCTATAAACAGACATAATTTCTTGTTCAGTTACAAAGTTCCGCTGTTCAAGTCCTATAATTGCTGTGCTGAGAATACCGACTAATTTGTCAATCGAAATTTTTTCGTTTTCAATAACCCTCTCTGTCACTTTCTTCACTATCGGAACGCGAATTATAATGACGAGGAACTTGATTTAAATCATATCAAAGACGGAGTACATCGAGATGAAATACTACATTTTAGTAAGGAATTATAAGCCAAATAAAATAAAAACATCTGTTCTAAAGATAAGGATAGTGCTGACAGATCAACTTCCAATTCATTGCGCGCCACGGCGTTTCCTCCCCCCCTCCTGCCGCAGAGCAGCGTGAAATTGATAAACAGATTTCGGATTTCAAAAACATACTTTCGCTTTGTAAATCCTTTACATATTAGTAAATATATATCGGAAATTCTATTTGACATAATCGAAAGTTCAAGCTTACTTTTATAAAATTGCTCTAACAGTCTGCAAAAAATAATAAGCCGGATCCAATTCAAAGATTAAGGAACAACGCAATCTGCAACATTAACTGAATTAGATAATTTTAGCTTAGCTTATACCGTCCGTTATACATTAAACGCGCATGCGTAAACGTATTATGCGCTTGCGCACACGCAAATTCGCAGCCGTAAAGGTCTTCCGCGCACGCGTAAATGCCTATGCGCATGCGTCAACCCGATGCATGCGCAGAAAGTTTGTAGCTTTGAGGTCCGGATTATGGGTGTCTGAATTAACGACTTTTGACTGTATTAAAGTTAAGTTCTTTAGAGCTTGTTATTAACAGGTTCAAGATAATTAACTTAGTTACTATCCATTTAAAAAAATTATATATGTGATACATAGTTATTTGTGATTAATTGTGTAAATTTATTTATCTGATACTTTGTTTAGTTATAATTCCATTAAAAAAAGTTTTTTTTCGTCAAATATTCTGGTACCCAGCTAACAGAAAAGTACTGAAGGACATAATCTTTTGTTGTGTAATAGAGAAAATGGGAGAAGAAATTCATCATGAGAAATTTTTGTTTGTTTGTGCTACCTATTACATTGAACTTTCTTATTTGCTTCCATTATGCACTGACTACCAATAAGTATTAGGACACCTGTGATAGAAAAGAAAAACTAACTTTATTCAAAATCAATAGTTGGTAGAGCCTCCACGAGAGGTAATTACAGCGTGGACCCTCCGGGGCATACTTTCCACAAGTCTTTGTACAGGGTTGCCACGCTACCTGGAAAACCGGGAGAACCGGAAAATGTCAGGGAATTCGAAAATTGACCAAACAATTCAGGGAAAAGTCAGGGAAGTTCATACAACGATCCCGCCAAAAAAAGCGATTTTTGCGCCGACGTCGGAAGAGATAACTATTTTGGCGAATTGTGTATCACGTGAGTGTCATTCGGGCAGCTGGCATAGAGCCAGTTGTCGCAGCTCCAATTTTATTGTCTTTTAGAAAGGCAAAGCAAGTTTCCCGCAACTTTGGGTTTCCAGTATTCTCGAGAATCGCATGTTCAGTGCATGAACTAAAGAAAGTACCTGTTCTCGTATAAAACAAAATGGGTTTAATCCTAGTATACGGTACCATGGTGGTTAGAATCAAAGCATATGTATTGTAAAGAAGGAAAACCTCTCCGCAACAGACATGGTTCCTTTCCATCATAGAGAGAAACAGCTGTGCATAGCGTGATATATCTGTCGCCAAAGCTCGAAACCGGTGTCGAAGTTCGAAGGTCATGTTATCAAGAGTTCATAAAATGAATATTGTTTAAAATTTTCTTTAAACCACTTGCGCTAAAAAGACGTGCCAACGCACGTCGAGATGCTTTGTCTCAAACCGCGAGCGATGTGAACACCACGTCGATAAGCATTTATCGCAAAAATGAAAATAACGTGGTGCACACGTCGCCTAACAATGAGATTGTTTATTTCTCGAGTTACAGCTCTGGATCGCACTCGCAGATGTAGAGCGGCGTAAATGAGACACTTTACCGCTTGTTATATTGTAGCGCACGGCACCGCAACCATGAAGTTTAGTCTTGGCCACAAGTGGTTAAACTAAAGGAAAGAAAATATTTTTGGCGCAAGCAAATTAATTCATGGATTAGTTATTTTCAGGGAAAAATAAAACTACGAAATCCGTTTTTAAAATTATTGCGAAAAATCGAAGAAGAAACGTCCTTTTGATAAAACGTTTCTTCTTGGATTTTTCGTAGCTTTCTTTTTGTCAAAGAACGTTTTTCTTAACACGTGTTTCTCAATTTCCGGTACAACATCGCGAGAGAGGGAAATTCTGGCCGCCAGGTTCCGTCGCCAAATCCTTGGCAAATTTTCCCTCTGCATTCTAGCAGCGTAATAGCATTTTACTTGTATGTGTTGGCAGTGGTGATAAAAGCAAAGCATGTTTTGCTTCCCTTAAATAAAGCTAAGACTAAACTAAATAAAATTCTTGCTTTATTCCGTAAATAAAGTAAAAGAGCTAACACTGTAGCCTTTACATTTAAAATCATTTGAGGGAAAGCAAACGAGCATAAAGCTAACTGATAATACTACACAAGAGAACAAGAACAGAACATTCGCCGATACCAGCGTACATATATACATACTCGGCCAAACCCGCCGATCTTGACGTCATCGGCCAATCAGCGGCAACCACGTTAGCTTACCGCCGATTCGACCTTCCGATCAAAATTTTGCATAAGGAAAACTAAAGCCAACAAACAGCCCTCTTTTCCCCATGCAAAGACAAAAACAAAACTTTCACAGAAGTTCAGATAGTTCAATTCTATTATACGAAAACACTTATTGTCTTTAAAACACTGAAAACATCTAAACAAAAACTTCTTAAATTAACAGCAGTCGCTGCTTTTGTAAATAAGTCCGGCAGTATTTAATTTACTGGTGATAAATTCAAGGTCAAACACTCCATCATTTACTAGTCTTAAACAAAGTGATATTTTACGTCTATGTGCTTAGTTCGGCGATTTTCTATTGGCGATCTAGAAAAATCAATGGCAGACTTGTTATCACAAAATAGTTTAAACTCTCTTAAATTAAACTTTAAAATTTCATCTTGTAAGACATTTTTTCCACATTAATTCCTTCGCTGCTTCAGATAAAGCGATATACTATGCTTCCATGGTTGATAAACTTACACATTTTTGTTTTTAACAGTTTTCCAGATTACCGGTACTTCATCTAAATATAATATAAATCCTCCCATGGACATGCGGCCATCCCTATATTACTTGCATAATCAGCATCTGTATAACAATGTAAATTTAGATGTTTAATCTTCCGATAAGTTTAACTTATATAATTAAATACTATTGAGATAACTAAGAGCAATTTCAACAATGCTTTCCCAATGCCTAATTCCAAGATTCTCCTGAAATTGTGATAAGATATTCACTGCATATGTAATATCGGGCCTTGTCCTGTTAGCTACAAGAAACTAAACATCCTAACAGATTTCTAAAGGGTAATGTATGCATTTCCGCAATTTCTACACTTGTAGATGGACAATCTAATTTTGTAAGAATAGTGCCCTTAGCTATGGGAAGTGAAGTTATTGGTATCTGGGAAATGTTTAAATTTTTCAAAAATTTCTTTCGATATATTTTTGCTGATGTATAAAAACCCCATTCTCATTCTCTAAGAATTCAATTCCAAGTAACGTTTGTTTTAGTTTTGCCTAATACTTTAAGATAAAAAAACTTACTCAGCTGTGAAATTACTTTATCTATACTATATTGATCTTTACTAAAAATCACAATATCATCTACAATATAACAAGAGAATTACATTTGAACCTCTTATAACACACAATTACATACACCATTGTATTTTCTTAAAATGTAGATTTTCTAAAGTACTTTCAAATTCACAAAACCATTCATGGCCCGCTTTGCTGTAGACCGTAAATGGCCTTGTGTAATAAACACACTTTATTTTCCCCTTCAATAAATCCCTCTGGTTGGGTCATATATATTTTCCTCAGTTAGGTTTGCATATAAATATGTGCATTCTTTACATCTAACTGACAAT